TTTTATTTTTCACTTGATAGTTGAATAAATATGTGAAATAATTGAAAAAGATAGTGTTTTAGAATTAATAGTAATAGATTTTAATATCAAGATGCATAGCTATCATTTGTCCATACTAATATTATATGGTGTATATCTAAACCTTTATTTAATATGAAACCTCTGTAAGATGAACACCTCCTCTAATGAACACTTTTCAAGCGGTCCCATTAGTGTTCATCTTAGGGAGGTTTTACTGTATTTGTTTAGATTTTAACGTTATTGTATAACAAATCTAAAACAATATTATTTTCAATTTAATTTTTATTTTTAAATAAATTAAAACTTACAATAACAAAAAGACAAGTTAATTATAATGCAATTAAAACAATATTTCAATGAAATATTTCAAAATCTATCAAGATTGGTCATGGATCAGCAAATGGATTTGGATCATGAATTATGTAAAAATGTAATGAATATATATATTATATGATAATAATATTATTCTATTCAACAATGCAACATTTGGGTGTCGGTGTCATTGTTCATTTGTATCCACATCTTGATTCGTCTCATATCTACTCTCAAATTTTAGTAAATATATTTTTTACCCTATACAAGAATAATGCTTTTCAGAATATAATGAAAAGAATGTAAAAATAATAACTAAATCTCTGATTTACTTTTTAAGAAATGTGTCCAATGAATGAATTCTTACAGAAAAATGATCAAGTAAACATGAATCTGTTCTAGAGATGCTTTCTTTTACTTTCATTAATCAAAGCAACGTCAGATAACTGATAATGTTTAAAACTTTGATTGAAGAAATATTTCAAGTTTAGATGTGGTGAAAGAGCAAAAGAACAGAGTATTTTATGAGAATGAATATACATATGGAATTGTTTTTTTCAGAAACAGACGTGTACAAAATAAATATTTCAATACATTTAAATGAATAAACGATTCAAAATAAAATTTAATTATGAAATATTTTCTTTTGCACAATTCCACCAAGATTAAAAATGTGATGGAATAGTCAATAATACTTGCATTAAATGTAAAACATTCTCGTCATAAAATTCTTACCTTCAGGTTAGGAAAACGTCAGCAATTAATTTATCTCTCAAGTGTTGAAACTCAATACTAATACTATAATGATGTCGATTAAAAGATTTATATACGCCGATAGTTTTGTCAAAAGAAAATTTCCATGTGTACTCATTTAGTGAAAATTAAGACAGATATTAACACAAATTATTTGTCTTTGAGATATAGTTGAAAAGATTTGCAAAATATATCAGTCATATTGGAGAGGATAAAGAAGCGATTTTTTCTTGTAATATTATTATTAGACGGTCAGCAAATGAAGCCATATCATGGCGTTATTTACGACCTTACGTTACCAGAAAAAGTTTACGATTATGGGTGGTTAATACTTAAATTAATAAAAGACAGATATGAGGAATAAATATAAAAAGAACTGAATTAGTAAATCTTTCAATAAACAGCACCGATAATTACATTTAATTTTTCTGTAAAATGAGCATACCTCTTAATAAATTTTTCGTTTTAATTCTTTTTTTCCTCTAAAACAAATAAAGTATGTAAAATTTTAGAATAAATATTTTTCTACCTTCGGTCAAGCTGATTTGATCCTGAAGTAAACCAATAATTTTCTTGAAGATGATGCTTTCCAGTCTTAAATGACACAAAATAATAATTATACAAAATAAAATATGTTTTCTAGCTTATGAACTAGTTATACTCCTGTCATATGTACATGCGTCAGTATAGAAATAAAATTCGTATATGTAATTTTATCCAAAATTAACACAAGAGATAATAAAAAAAGCCATCGACGCAACTGTCAAATTTTTCTTCCGATATTTCGTAATTGAAAATAAATAACGATGAAATATTGTGTCATTACATTTTAAAATCATACAAAGAGGTATGCACCATGACTAATATTTTATTGCTTGTTGTTATTATTTCCTTTTTTCAACTAATAAGACATGCATGACTGAGTAATAACTATAAGTTGGAATATTTTACAATTAAGGTGTCAGTATATATATGCCCTCTTTTTTCGGAAGCAAAAAATGTGATAGAAATGATAGTTATCCGTATGTCCCAATATCGAACGGCTGGATTTTATTTACATTATTTTTACAATTCAAATAACTTTCTTATCGTTTATATTAGTAACGAAAGGTAGAGTCTTTATAATTTAACATTTTTTACCTGATAGTTTCGTGCAGATTTGTTTCTAGTTGATATGATGACTACTCTTTATGCACAACTTCCATTCTTTCTCTTATTTGTGTCTGTGACTAGAACACCCGACGGATTTTTGAAACGCTCTCCGCTATAATCCTATATAAATGAAGTTATAATGGGCTTTTCATCCTACTTAGAGTCTCGAATCCGAAAGTTTTAAAATGAGATCTTGTCAATGGAAGATTCCTCTATCCGACGAAGACCTTGAATATGTTATTTCATAATATTTTATACTCATTCTAGATAAAAAAAAATGCTTGGATCATTTTTTCCTGAAAGAAGCGTTACTATACGCGAACATTTTCGTGAGATTCACATTTTGTATTTTATATGTGATGTAACAGATGTGCCACCATTTTTGTTTTGTAGGATGTTGCAGGAGCAAACAATTCAATTCAGATTTTCCTCAAGAACTGATTGGAGTTATACATCCAGAAGAGTTTTACCAGTCAATAGACAATATTAATTATGCGCGAAAACATACTCCAGTTGAGATTATATTGCGCTTTATTTTCGTGTTAAGTTATGTGATAGGAACCATTGTATTTATTGTTGGTTTAGTATTAATACGGTCTTCAAATACGACACTATGGCTTACATTATCCATGATCGGATTGGGAATAACGGTCATTTCTATTTTTTTTCATGTGGGTACCAGTTGTTGCATTACTCCTCGGCGCATACGTCGACTTAAAGATGCAATTAATGCTGAATCAATGAAATATATGACAAAGCATCCAATACCTACAAGATGGAGATTGGGCGTCCAGACTTATACATCGTACAGCTCTCCTGGTAACACAAACATTCATATAATTTATTCTGTAAGTAATATTATTTCGATACATAATATTTTATTGAAATAATATCTATTAGAAGCGTAAAAAGGTCAAATATAGTAGTATATATCTGCTTGATCTGTACATTTTCTTATCTGAAATATCCTGATGATTTGTTCACTGAATACGAAGCCTAAGATTTAATAAAACAAAAATAGAAAAACGATAGCAATCAAAATAAGTTCAATCGGCAGCATATTTATTAGTTTAGTTTGCGGTGAATCGCTTAAAAATAATTACATAGGATATATTAAAAACCCAAAATAACTTTTTGTTTGATTAAAAATGTTTAAGACAACATACAGAGGACGTAAAGAATCACAATAATTAGTGAGAAATTTATATAAGACATCAGTAACAAACAGTTCAAAATAGTTCATTTTCTCTAAAAATGACAGATAAATATTTCTGATAATTTAGCATCAAAAATGCTTCGATATATTTTGTTGAAAATATATTTTTGATTCAGAAAGTGAAATTATTAACTGAAAAAAATAGGACATATGCGCAAGATCGATCTATTGAATCTCGTTTTCGGAACATATACATAAACGGATTGCAACAAAACTCTTACACAGAATATTAATGACTCTTTCCCCCAACGCAATTCCTTTCTTCTCCTGTATAGATGATAACATCCTACATCAACGCGATGCTTTTCTATGTTATGCTCAAACCAATCTCTCTCACTTCGACTTCCTTCTTCTATATGAAATACTTTCAGAATGGGAAAGCGCTTCCCTACTTCAGAATTGTCTAAAAATCTGGAAATCACACATCATCAATGACGCATCTTCCACTTTAAACTCTTTACACATCCTCTCCTTTAACGTTCGCGGTCTAGACCTACGTATTGATGAAGTCATTCTCCTAGCAAAATCCTTTAAATTCGATATTATCGTTTTGTTAGAAACAGGATCCGCTGATCTCGATCACTGTAAACAAACTTTTTCTAATTATAAAACCTTTTATCAAGAAGGTGAAAACGCTAATGGGGGAGTAGTAATACTAGTAAGAAACGATATAAAAACAAAGAGAGTACATTGTGAAATTCCAAATGTATGCGCAATAGATATACTTGAGGACTTTTCCCTCAGAATAGTGGGCGTGTATGCACCGGAGAGTAAATCTTGGTCTTGGGACAATTTATCCTGTCTTGTTAGTTCTAAATGTGCTCTCTTTGGCGACTTTAATATTGATTTCGAACAAGACAAGACGAAAGCTGACGCTCTCTTGTCCTGGGCTGACCTTCTTTCTCTGACTCCCTATCTTCCAGCACTTCCTACCTCGAAGAGATCCGACAGAATCATTGACTATGTTCTCTCCTCTGGTTTTTCTACGTCTATACAAACGTACGAAGGAAATACATCAAGCGATCATAAACCGATTCTCTCTATAATACCAACAGCTTCTAATGAAATAACCTTCGCTAGAAATATACACTGGAAGGTGTTTACAATGCTCTGCGAATACTTATATCCTTTCTGGGATAAAAGATGGTTACTGAATGAACTAAACAATGTATACGAAGATTATATATCTTTCATTTCACTGCTCATTGCTCGTTGTACATTGCTTTTTCCTATTGATAAATATCGAATTGCTATACCTAAATACTTAAGAGCCTATATGTCTCATACACGTGCTCTATCATTTAAGCAGATGCGATCAAGCGATTGTACTCTAAAGTCTATCGTCAGTTATAGAAGAAAAATAGCAAAGACCGAACGTAAACGTTTCTTATCTAATCAACTAGCAATGTCCCTAGCTGCACGTAATTCCGCAACACCACTCTCTATTTCCTTTTGGTCCAAAATAAAGAAATTCATGAAATCTTCCACGTCTTCTCTCCATGGATTCACTCTTCACAATGGTGAAGTTATTAAGTCTCCGGAAAAAATGTGCGATCTAGCTGCGGACTATTACGAAAATTTCTTTAAAAGTCCTGATAATATATATCATCCTCACCCATATACAGATGCACCAGATGTCGAATGGGAAAACTATCTCGAAATAATTCCTCCAGCAACGGTAGAAGAAGTAGTTGATGTTGTAAGCTCCCTTAAGAAAAAGAAATCTGTTGACGCTCATGGTTTATCAAATTTCATGTTCAATTCTCTACCGCTAAACTACTGGTCTCTCTTTACTAAAATCTTTAACTTCACATTTGAAAATGGTATTTTTCCATCACTCTGGAAGGATACTCGTATCCTATTACTTGCAAAAAAAGAGTCTATATGCGAACCCTCTGCTACTCGTCCTATCTCACTCCTTGACATCTTTCTTAAAATAAATGAGAAGTTATTCCTAACACGATTTACGAAGATAATCTCAAGTCGTGGTCTACTCCCAGACACACAATCGGGTTTCCGGGAGGGGTTTAGACTCCAATCCAGAGTACTTCTCTTTCTCGAACAAATAGCTAGCCTGATGGCGAACAGCTCACCTGTTGCCACTATTTTCGTTGACTTCAAAGCAGCCTTCGACCAACTCTGGTTCGAAGGCTGTGTAGGTAAATTAAAAAGAATGGGAATACCGAGAGACTATCTACGTTGGATATATTCCTGGCTAACCGATCGCAGAGCCTATGTCGAAGTTGGGGGTAAAAAGTCGCGCTGGTTTAATATCATGAAAGGGTGTCCCCAAGGATCTTCTATCTCTCCCACTCTTTTTATCACGTATCACGCTGATATGGGCGACTTCCTGGGTTTTTGCTTGAGTAATTTTTTCGCCGACGACCTCGCAGCTGTTGTTGCAGGTAGTATTGGCATGAAATTCACCGCACAGTGCCTGGATTTGGAAAAAAAACTGAAGCTGTTTTTCGAAAACCTTGAATTTTACGCCATACTAACATCCCAACCTATCAATTTTTCGAAAACTGAAGGCCTGTGGTCAGCGAGAGCAATAGGAGCTCCCAAATTCGAAATCCGCACGAGTGAACATAAAATTGAATGGTCTAAGAAATTCAAATATCTAGGCTACTGGTTCACCCCGAAACTAGGATTTGGCACCCTAATCGAAAAAAGCATGTTGAAAATAAGACAAAGAATAGGAATGATTAACTCGCTTAGGTTGGAGGGCGCTACTTCTCTGGATCTACGCAAAGCGCTTTTTTACTCATTTGTTCTTCCCCTTTTCACTTGGATCTTTCCTCTATTCCCTTTGTTCACTACTAAACAACAACAAGATCTTAATCATTTCTACTATACGTGTTTAAAAAGAGTGATGTTCTGTCGACATTGGTCAGACCACTTCTTCTCCTTCATCTCTAATGAAATCTCGCTGGAAGATCGATGTAGAAAATACTGGGACAAATACTTCATCGCTCTATCCGATTCTGTTGACGGTGAACTGCTTCTTGAGCAGGCGAACCTCAATTTTTATAGAGAAGCCTGGCGCAATAAAGAATATAAAATTAAACGAATTTTTCTCTCAAAAAGATTTGTCGAGCATAACTCCCTGGTAACTAGAATCCTAAGTTGGTGTGCTAACACCCCGACTGACGACTCTATCCCTAACTATGATCTAGATGATGTGCGATTACTAGCCGATTTTCCGGATACATTCTAACTTATCGTTACTCACATTTGTACATATATATATATAGATATATATATATATTTTTTCTTCTCTCTCTCTCTTCTCTTTTCTCTCCCATCTCGTCTCCTCTTTTCCTCTCCTCTATCTCATATCACAAGTTTTTCTTACCTATTAAGTAATCAAGTGCATTTTGTTTCTATTTTCGGCTTTTCGCTTGACTATATGTTCGGTGTAGTATTTTTATATAAATGATCGATTCATCCAGTTCTCTCTCTGCTCTCTCTTTCCTCCACATTTTCTCTATATGATGTTATGTCCTCCCTATTAAGTTTAATGTACTGTCAGGACCCATGAGGTCGCCAGTTATCGCAAATAAATAAATAAATAAATAAATAACAAAACTCTTACATTCTAATGAAAATATATAATTAATCATACTTTTTAATTTAGATAATTATTGATATTGGTAAAAAAGTTGATCCACGGATTAGAGGTGATCAATTAAATGTGCAGCGAAATTTACAAGAACCAGCATCATACGTTGGTCAACACCATTCTATTGTCCCTTTACTTGATGAGAATTTATTAGTAAGAAATTCTCATCAAATATTATTACCTATTGAAGAACGAGCTTATATTCATTCTTCAGTGTAATTCAATAGTGTATTACAAGCATATAACTTATAACATAAACAATATATTACTCTAAGTCATTAAAAAATTTTATTTTTTATAGTTATTTCTAATAAATATAATTCAGAGACAATTCAATAATCTTATCAATGAAAAAGAATGCACATCAAACAGGATTTAATGGGTAATTGTTTTCTTTCCTCAATAAACATATTATACAATCTAAATGTGTACCGGGGTGGGTGTGAGTGTGGATATTTTGTCATTATCTGCACCCACCCACACCCACACTCACCCTACGTCGTTGTTCTTCTTTACGGATGTTAACATATGAGTACTTCTTAATAAAATATTTTTATAACCATGTTCATACAGATAAAGACGTATTCTTGATATAGATACTGATTTCTAATGATTTTTCGTTAATTTCATTGAGGGTTATTTCACTCTTAATTACATGGAAAATATTCAGCAATAGCTTCTTTTTTTCTATTCCATTTAAGATATATGATCGACTATTACCTACTCGGTGTCTAAGTGAATTATTTATATTTTAATAGATAGTCCGTATTGGTATTTTTGTTTCATAATGAATAGGGTGTGGGTGTGGATGTGGGTGTAGGTGTGGGTGTTTTCTTTAGATTAACAAGGACACTGACACCCCACATCCACACCCATCCGCCGCCAGTCTATTTATCATATATACGATGTTGTTTCTGATAACGCTACTTGAGTAGTTATTGAGGAGATGACCAAGAGACGACACACCACTACCCGCCGATTTAGTCTAGTAATAATGACACGACTGATCCAAATCATAGCGAAGGCTGCATAGCAAAAGGTCGACCTGATTTATTTCATCCACACTAGTGAATTTTTCTAGAAATATCGTTTGTAGGTTTATTTTTTCTTCATTTTTTTGTTTCTAGATTTGTTTTTTCTAGATTTTGCGACATTATCATGGAAAACAAGTAACAGTAGAAGCAATTGAGCTTGTATTTATTTTCAACAAAAACGAAAATATTAGAAAAGAAAAACAAGGAAGGACATGATCTAGAAATATACAACATACAGAGAGAGAGAGGATGAAGAAAAGAAAAAGTATACATAGGCAAAATAAATACTTGGTTCATTTCATTTAACATACGTCGGATTGAAAATGTCGAACACATATTTAAACAATATGGTCCCATTAATGATGGAACTACATTGCATTGTTCACCATGTAAAACAAAGAGTTTTTTCATTTTTAGATTGGACGTCTCACTGATGAGATCAAGTGGAATATACAGTCGATAAAATTAAAGAAAATGTTGGGATTACCAACAGCAAGATTAGTCAGTGCTAAAGAAAAACGAGAGAAACAACGCTCGCAAATAATAGAAAAATTTCGTAAGATTTTTTGATTTTTAAAATCAATACATATTCCCTATTTTAGAGGTTGAATGGAAATATATAAAAGAATCCAAAGAAAACTAATTCATGCAATACATTTTTCGTATTATTTGATTTTTTCATTCAGCTTCAATAATAACGATCTATGTATTTGTATTTTTTTTTCAATAATAATCATCTGTACATTTTTTCTTAATTAATAAAATCAATATTTCAATCTACACGATTTACTATTTTTATTTGAATAAGAATTAACTCGCATTAATATTGTACATACTATTTGTTTGATTTTGAGCGTGTGGATGTGAGAGAGAATGTCTCATCAATCGTGCATACGAACCCAGATCCGCTCACACTCACTCTCAAAATGTTTATTTTAAAAACTTATTAAAGAGTTAATTAACAAGTAACACTCATCTGAGGACTCGCTTAGCTCTTTCTCGTAGAAACGCATTTTTTCACATTTACTGGAAAAACAAATGAAAACCGTGAAAAATTAATTTGCGATATTCTTTTGACCTCTCCCTTCGCCCACTCACCCTTAACCATGGCCACCGAACAGACCCAAATTCGAACTCTCCGCATCTGAATACCTCTAGAAATGTCTTTTCCAGAAAATTGGTTTTCGATGTTTTTTTGACCCTGCGGACACAGAGGACATTCAGTTCAAAAAACATGCAGACGTAAACAAATAGAGAAGTTTGACAAAAAACAGAAAAAAAATCATGTATTGCTTTTTACCATGGTTCATTAAGCAGATAATTTTCCAATAAATTTTCTGATGTCATTGGCAAATTCGAAATTTGTTGTTAGAAAAAGTTTTGTAAAATAGTTTTTATCTTAAAATGAATAAACATGTGAGCCAATATATGTCTTTCGTAGAAATATCATTTTTTTTCCTATTTTTTCAGCATAAAAAATAATATCTTTCAGTTATTTTTATCTATCTTCGCTCGGATATGATATATAAATATACTATTTAATAGAACTCATCGAACTCTATTTGACGTCAGAAATAGTTGAATCGGTCGTTAACTTTACAAAATGCTAGACATGTTTTTTTTGTTACGTTTCTATATACGCAATTCGAAAATAATTAATTTTTTCCCTTGTTTATTTAGATAATGAATTCAATTTATATAGCACCATTCGTCTATAAATATTTTTTTATAAAGAAAATTTGAATATATTATCAATATCAACAATGTCAACGATTGACAAATGTATAAATTAGACAGCTGGCTATGCATTTTCGAAATCGTTTGTAATAAATCTATTCGCCCATTGAAATGATTTATCTCAAGTATCCACTATATCTTTTCCTATTATTTCCAACATCTTACATATCCGGATCATGCTTTTATGATTCACTCAAATCATCATTATCTAATGATACTTTAAGTATGTTTTGATCAACATTTTCTTCTATAAACATCTATAATTATTCAAATGATTAGATAATCAAGGCAGTGATGAATATTGTGAGCATTTAAATGTGAAATATGCAATAAATAGCACTTGGATATTATCCTATCCTAAATGTCTCGAGTGTCGATGTGATAATTATGGATTACAATGCTGTAGGTATGTAATAACATATGTAATATCTTCGATGTTTTCAAGCTATTTCAATTCATGATTCAGATATGGTCCAACAGCTAATATTATTGATCTCCCAGAGAATTGTCAATTAGCTGAAGGTACTTGTGAAATTCGTTTTGTTCAAAAAAACAATCACTCTCAATTGTGTAATGAGAAGTATTTGACGAAAAAGAAATTTCAAATGGAACGTAAAAGTTCAAAAATGATATTTTATATGCAACTACGAAAAAAATCAAGAAAATATATTATCATTCTTGACTAAAATTCTGTTGTTTGTTCTAATTTCTGAATACATCAACAATAATGATCACGTAAGATATGTTAAACATAACAGAAAAGAACTACAATTGAGAAAGAGGAAGTAGATCAATCGATATTATAATTATCTTTAGATATGGACAACAGTCCACTTGTGTTGAGTGGCCATAATACTTACGAAAGAATAGTAGAAATAACAATGAGATATTTTCTATCTCCTGCATGATTAACTACATGTAATAGATCCTAGATGTGCTGATAGAACAAGAAGAGAGAGCAAGAAAAAAGAGAGAAAAAATGGGTTATATCGATTGTACTGGCATTCTCACGCAGGCATGCACATATGTATGCATATCTATCAAATTCAGTTCGCTCTATTCATCATCGAAGACTGAATTTAAATAGTAGTTAATTATTTTCTTACTGTTTATAACTAATTTACTATGAATTACGTTCCATTGAATTCTAATGCATTTTATACTAATCAAAAAAAATCTATCTTACAACCTCCAAAATCACGATTTAATTCACCAGTTAATAATTATTCTCATATCAATGCTCAAACATTAGAAATACGTCCTCCTCGAACACCAATACCATTTAGTACAATCATGCCAATGACTCATACTGATACTGCTATACCTTTGAGTAATGTTAATCAAAAATTAGCTACTCTTACATTTAATTTAGAAAAAGAATTTGAAGGTGAAGCAACTGTAGGTAAATATTATGGTCAATGCACTAAATGTAGACAATCAATAACGGGTTCGTCATCGGATGTTTGCCAAGCAATGGGCAAACTTTATCATAGTGATTGTTTTAAATGTGTTTTATGTGCTCGGATATTACGAGGTAAAGCATTTTATCGTATACATGATCAAGTCTATTGTGAAGAAGATTATCTGGTAAGCATTGAGAAATAATATGAATATCTTCCAGATGATATTTGTTTTAGTTTACTGGCTTTCAACAAACAATAGAAAAATGTTATATTTGTGATCATCTTATTATGGATCAGGTAACTTTCTAATGATGGAAAAAAAACTCTTTTTAATATTTTTTTAATTCTCTATGAAATCAAGATGCTTCAAGCACTCGGTCATACATATCATCCTGGTTGTTTTCGTTGTTCGATATGTAATGAATCTCTTGATAATCATCCATTTACTATTGATAAAGATCAACGTTTATTTTGTTTAAATGATTATCATAAGTAAAATCTGATTTTTTAATTAAGAAATTCATAATTTTTTCAATTTTTATTTTCCAGTACTTATGCTCCTCGATGTGCTAAATGTACTGATCCTATTTGTCCAGATGATGTAAGAAAAAAATTTTCTCAAAAAAAAACAAATCAAAGTTTATTCAAATTATTTTTTGATAGGGTTGTGATGAAACTATTCGTGTTATTGCAATGAATAAAAATTTTCATATTGAATGTTATCGATGTAAGGTAAAATTTAATTATACATTATATTTTTATAGAATATTCATGCATATATATATTCTGTTATTAGGATTGTCAATCTAGTTTGAGTGATGAGCAAACAACAGCTCTTTTAGGTGGTTGTTGTCCATTACCAGATGGTACATTATTATGTTATCGATGTCGAATGCGTCGAGGTGTTAATAATAAATAAATAACTTACATGTGTATAATTCTATGAATATGATTATTCCTTCGCAATTTTAATAAAATATAAAAGAAATGAATATTAATTGTCATTGTTTTTTTTTATTATAGGCAAATTTCAATACAATGAAGAAAAATTCTCTAAGCTTATCATCATTCTTAAAAAACGCTAATAGCTGAATATCTTAGATAAAAGAGGAGTATAAGATCGCTATTTGTTATTCAATGTTGACTCTTATATTTTTATTCATTAAAGCATGATGATCTTTCATCAATATCTTCCAATATCTTTCTGTCAAAAAATATATACATATAAAAATAAATGCAAAAATTATTTTGAAAATAGAAATTTATATTTTAGTTTTTTGCATACTGCTTGAATATATTTGGCTGCTCGATTTTTTTATAGTATTGACGTATACATTTTCTCTGCTTATCATCATCATCCAGAGCAGAATGTGCAAGAAAAGAAAGAAAGAAAGTACATACAAACATAGACAGACATACGAGAAAAAAAGAAAAGAAAAAGCGAGACGTGACCATTGATATGATTATTATAATAAAAGATAGAAGAAAAATGATAATATCAAAGTTATCCGTACAGTTTTAACTGACTATCTCACTCTCGTAGGTTTTTATTTTGACTGAGCATGTGGTTGTTGAACAATAACATCTCTTGGTTGTTCAATATTAAATGGTGATACTAAATCGCATAATTCTTTATTTTCCATTAATAATTGTATAAATTCTTTTGATGTTATTTTAATATCATCCAAATCTTTACCATGATGAAGATGTTCAAGTGATTGTTTTAATTCATCAAGAATACGTTGTGTATTTTCCGGATCATCTTTAGCATGAAGTCTTATAGCAATCTAGATTTTAAATAAGAAAATACTAAAATTAGAATAGATTTTTTTTATATTTACTTTAGCCATTCGATCAATTTCTTTTTTATTAATAACACCATCTTTATCATGATCATACGTACGAAAAACATATTTAAGTTTTTCACGAATACTACCCGTTGATGTTAATGCAAAACCAATTAAAAATTCGCGTTGATCTAATAGAATAGAAAAATAAATTCAATTAATTTGAAATTATTTTATAAATACATACCAACAATTCCATCATTATTTGAATCAAATGCTTTATGTATATCAGTTGCTTGTTTTTCAATTTGATCTTCTTTACCACTATTAATACTTCGTAAGAAACTCACAGTATCTGCCTTAGAAATTTTTCCATTTGGACAGGCTGCCTAAAACCATAAAAGAAAATTTTTTTTTTAAATAGTATAAGAAGATAAAAGAAAATAAATTCAAACCTTGAGTTTTTCATACCAAACTTTGACACTTTCATGATCAATTTTTGCTTTACTTGAAATAAATTCAATATCTTCTTCGCTTAATTCTGCTGGTGGCTGTGATGAACTTGAACCCATTTTAATATCAACGAATAAATTGTTTTCCTCCTAAGCGGAGGTTGTTTTTCTCAAAAAGAAATGTCAAGAGATTAAAATAGAATAATTCAATCTAAAACTAATAATAATTGATGAAGATTCATTTGGGAATAATTCATATATGATAAAAATACAAAATCTTTCATTTTCACTGTACAAAACCAAGCACTAAAAAAAACATACTTATCAATAAATTACTCCTCTCTCCAATTGCCAGTTTTTGGATTATAAAATAAATGTATTTCTTTCGTTAGATCAACAAAAGGTACTTTAATTGTATACATTGGTTCATTATAATGTCCTTGCCAATTTATTTCAATAAATAAATCCATATTTTCATTTGATTCATTTAATTTAATTTTATGTTCAATAGGTTCTTCACCTTTAATCACATTTGAATCATATTTTAATTGCATATCTTGTTTAACTAATATTCTTATTGCTGAAAAAAGTGAATAAACTATATCTTGATTAAGATCTAACCCTTTTATTAATATATTTTGTTGTTTAATCATAACATGTATACGTCGATGTAGTTCCCATTCCGGTATTGGTATATCTAATTTTGCCATCAACTTTTTCATAAGATCATCACACATAGTATGAATATTTAGTTTAGCTAACGAGGCCAATGGAGTTGATTGTAAATTACCAATAGCTAATTTTCCACCTTGTTGACCTACAATCATTGGAATATTCGCTGCTGGAGTGACGCGTAATGATGAGCCTAATACAAGACAGACATCTGCGCGTTTTGCATGATCAAAACTTGTTTCTAATTCATATTTAGGTAGACTTTCGCCAAAATTAATAATTGAATCATAAAGTATTGAATTACATTTCGTACATTTTCGATTCGTAGCATGATCATGTACTTGAGCAGCTGTACGTGTACGAAAATCACGTAAATATTTCGTATGACATTTTTGACATATTTCTAAATTTGAATTTCCATGAAGTTCAGCTAACATAATTGATGGCAGACCAGATCGTAAATGTAAACCATCAGTATTTTGTGATATAACAAAATGAAGAAGATTTCGACGAGCTAATTCAACAATTGCCATATGAGTAATAGATGGAACAGCTTTTGTTGATGTCGTAGTACGAGCATTTGGTGAACGTTGTACACCAGGATGATCACGAAGTTCCCATACGCCTGGTCCAGTTGGTAGAATAGTATTCATTCCTGATCGAAAATCAGGAATACTAAATATAAATTAGTATATTTATATTAAAAAGAACTTCAATGTAATAAAAATAAACTTACCCTGTTGAAGTCGATACTCCAGCACCTATATAAATATCATTTGAATACATATAACATAAATATTAATAACTCACTTGCCTGTAAAAGCAATAAAATGTTTGGCACTTCGAATCCAATCTGCTAATTGATCAAGTTTTTTATCAAGTACATCAGGAGAATCGACATGTTCTTTCTTTGTTGGATCTTCATCTGAAATTCCATGTGCCATCTTTTGGATTCTTTTTTTTTAAAAGATAAAAATCTAAAATCATATATATATATTTATACATATACATAAAGAATAAGCGCCATTCATGACTCAATAACTCTATGTATATGAAAACCTGAATTGCGTCGTCAAAATGAAAGGAAAACAAAATTGTATATATTTTAAAAAGAAACAATAAGAATGAATGTATATTTTAATCTGTTAATTGCATCTAAGCAATATCAGAAATTTGTCATCTATAGTAAAGATAAAGGAAACAACAAATAACAACAATCAGATCGTCAATAATGTCTACAAAAACAGAAAAAAAAGAAAAAAAAAGAAAAAAGAAATCACAAATAGTCACGCTATGATTCACACACGAAAACTATTGTCAAAAAACAGTATCTGTACATATCTTTTTGAACACACTTACACACACAGAAAAAGAAGAACAAGAGTATTTTTAACGATAGATAAGACCCGATTACATACAAAATAAATAAAGTGAAAAAGAGCAAAAAAAAAGAAAAAAAAGGAAAACAAAATTAACCATGTTGTGGTGGACGTGTAGATGCACTTTCAATCGTTGTTGTTAGTAAACTAGATGAACTACTGTTGTTACTTGGAATAGATGATGAACTTAATTGATGATTCATTGAATTAAATAAATCATCAAGTAATTGAAGTGCACGATGAATTTGTATTTCAATCCAACAGGGTGTTTCTTTTATTGATTGCCTTAATTTATTTTATATATATTTTTTTCTAAGAAAAAAAAATTAAATTCTTACCGAGGATAATCTGGACCCCATCCTTTAACAAAACTAAGTCTTAACACACATAAACGTCGCATATCATCAACACTTAAACTTGTTGACGATGGACCATGAAGTTGTTGTTGCATTCGAGCATGTAAAGCCATTTTAACATGTTGATCCATTTGAGAAAAACATTGATGTAAATCAAATACCTAGAGAAATTGATATATAGAATAATAAATACTTTCGAACTCACTTCTTTTATTCTTTACTATAAGAAGTCAAGGTAGCAGTATGCGATCATAGGAAAAAAAACATGTCAGATGCAATTCAATCTAATTAGTGTTGAAAATAATTCTCAAGAAAAACTATTCGATAACTACCATTACTCATCAAAATATTGATGCTATTAAATATCTAGTAGATAGTAGTCTTCTATATATTAACATTGTTTATATTCCTATCATCCTAGGCATAGTCTATCACATAACAACAAAATATCATTAACGACAAATGGTATAGATGTGCATTATAGCAATGCAAAAAACACATATGCAAAATATATTATTCTTGATCTTAATTATTTTTGAAAGGAAAAACATCAACTTGATCACGTCAAGGGTATACACATATAACATACTTTAATGCAAGCTTGAGGATAAATTTTATGAACAGCATCACCTGGTGCACGTCCAGCTTCACGATCAAGATAATATGATTGAAGAAAAACTGCTTGATCACTATTACATCTTATCCATACATCACCTTCATTTCGACATTCAACACGAATACCTTTACCAATATGTAATCTAAAAAAAATCAATTGATTTATATTGGAAAAATTCTTTTTTTTCGGATAAATTCATACCGTGCTTTTTCACTTGCTTCCGTACGATGAACATTACTTAAAGGACCTAAACAAAATCGATCTCCAACAGTAGCCATATCTGTTCCACCATCAACAGTTACTTCTTTAAACGTATCTGGTACTTTAAATGTTTCACCAACTTGCACATCACGTTCATAATAAGCTATACTACACCAATATTCACCAAAATTACTTATTAATGTTAACGATTGAAGTGAAGGTGTACTCGTAGGAATAATAGGATGTTGTTGCCCTAAAAACATTCCACGATATTAAATCCTACTTATATCTTAGGAAAATATCTTACATAAACTAGCTGTAGCTGATGCTGATTGTGCCCATAGAGGTACATTTCCATCTTGAAAAAATAAAATCATATTTTTCACATAAACAAAAATTCTATTTTTACCTTGTGGAAAACTACCAATAGTTGAAGCAGAACTTCCATTAGTAGGATATTGATGCGGTGGACTTGGACTAGTCGTATCTGGTGCTTGATGTTGAACAATACCTATAGCCTGTGGAGAATTTTGTTCGTCTATATAATCTATAAGAAGGAAAAAAAATATTTAATTGAATATATATGACAATGTATATTTTTAATAACCTTTTATGTAATGATATCCATCAGGTGTTGAATAAAGATCCCGATCATTTGATGAAGATGGATCATTATGCCCAAGTAATTGAAAACGAGGTACAAGTGGCATTCCTGCAAGATCTATTTATAGAAGAAAAAAACATAGCGTTATTTTTTTTTTCGAGAAAAAAAAATTAATCAAGAATATTTACCAATTCCTGGTGAAACAACACGCTCATAATGATATGGATTGACTAAAAAATAAAAAAAAATACACTTAGGAAAATTACTTTTCTTCTTTAATTAAATTTACCACAAACATATTCTTGTTTAAGATCAAATGCTAAATGACAGATTTTTAAATGTTTCAATTCATTTTTATGTAAATCAGGCCAACGCCATATACGTGCATAGATAACATGTGGAAAACCTTTTCGACCAGCAACCTATGTAATAAATGATGATAGTATTGAAAAAAAATTATTTAATAAAATAAATTATATACTTGTAATCGTCCATCGAGTGTTCGTTGAATAGTTACACATTTCGTTGGAATTTGTCCGCTGGATGTAACTGATGCAACTAATGCATCAAGTTCATCTTTTTTATCTTTAAGTTTTTTAACCAAACTAATATAAAACAAACATAGAAAATAATAAGAATAAGAATTTATTTTTATTTTACCTTTCAATAGCTCGTTTTGCAAATGTTTCACTTTCACCATTTGTTCGTTGTCTATGACATAAAAGATTTGCAACAATTCCATTGCATGCATCTGACGATGAACCACCACTATTTGATGTTGATGCACCATTTGATGGTGGACTATGAGAATGAGGTGGAGGAGAAGCCGACATCATTCTTGATGATGATGATGCAGCAACGGCAGCAGCAGCAGCTAACGATGGATGAATGAGAAGATCCACTTTGTTTGTATTAATAAACAAAAAAGTATTTTATTTTTTGAACAATAAATATAAAATGATAGTGGTTTTATTTTTTGTTTGTATTAGCTTGGCTTCTTTTTTCGTTTCCACATTGTCGATCAACCGATGGGGTGAAGAGGTAAACAAAATAAACATAATGAGCGACCATGTGACGTGCAATTGTTCCTTCAATTAACTTTTTTTGTAATGTGTCTAGTGACATCTTTAGATAGACAACTAAAAGATATATTTTTCAAAAATCAAGATTGATTATTCATCATTGTATATAGTCTCGAGAATAAGTTTCGAAATAAAACAAAATGTAATTGTATTCTTAAATTACTTTATCAATCATATCTTTTAGATCAGTATTTATTGTTTTTTTGAATGGCTCAAGCAACATTATCACTAGGTGGTGAACGTATTACAGGTGATTCAGTTCGTACTCAAAATGGTCAGTAAATTTTTTTGTAAAAAATAATATAATTACATTGTGTTTTTTCTTCATTCACTAAAATAGTTTTGGCAGCTATGGCTATTGCTAATATTGTTCGAACATCATTAGGTCCACTTGGTCTTGATAAAATGATGGTTGATGATATAGGAGTATGTTGTCTATCTAATTTATTTTTTCGAAATAAATATTAAATTGAATATATAGGATGTCACAATTACAAATGATGGTGCTACTATTCTTAAATTACTTGAAGTTGAACATCCGGCTGCAAAAGTACTAGTAGAATTAGCACAATTACAAGATCAAGAAGTTGGCGATGGTACAACTAGTGTCGTAAGTTGAAAAAAACTTTCTTTGTCGGTGTATATGAATTTATTTTTATAATAAACAGGTAATTATTGCTGCTGAATTATTAAAAAATGCTGATCAACTTGTTAAACAAAAAATTCATCCAACATCAGTTATTAGTGGTTATAAATTAGCGTGCAAGTAAAATATATATATATATTATCATTTAATATTCATTTATAGAAAATGAAAATTTTTAGATTAGCAGTTAAATATATTCAAGATAAAATGACTATTAAAGTTGATGAATTAGGTAGTGAATGTTTAATAAATGTTGCTAAAACATCAATGTCAAGTAAAGTTATTGGAATGTATGTAGCAAAATAAATTTCTATTCTATTAATAGCATATATATTAATTATAGGGATGCTGATTATTTTGCTAAAATGTGTGTTGATGCAGCAAATTTAGTTAAATTTAATGAAAAAGATAAAATAATTGTACCAATTAAATCAATTAATGTATTAAAAGCTCATGGTCGATCAATACGTGAAAGTAGTTTAATATCTGGTTATGCACTAAATTGTACAGTTGCTTCGCAATTAATGACAAAACGAATATCAAATGCAAAAATAGCATGTTTGGATTTTAGTTTACAAAAAGTACGAATGAAATTAGGTGTACAAATTGTTGTAGAAGATCCAGAAAAACTTGAAGCTATTCGAAGAAGGTTAGTAATTCACTTATTAAATAGTATGTAAAATAAAATACATTTAGAGAAACTGATATTGCTAAAGAACGTGTTGCTAAATTACTTAATGCTGGTGCTAATGTTATATTAACAACTGGTGGTATTGATGATCTTTGTTTAAAACAATTTGTTGAAGCTGGAGCTATGGCTGTTCGACGTTGTAAAAAAGCTGATTTAAAACGTATTGCTAAAGCAACAGGAGGTAAAATCTTTCATAATGAACTTGTAATTAAATATTACTATGTTGATTTTCTTTTAGCTACATTATTAACTGCTTTAGCAAATATGGAAGGTGACGAATCAATTGATGCATCAGTTATTGGTAGTGCTAATGAAGTTGTTCAAGAACGTATTTGTGATGATGAACTTATTCTTATTCGAGGACCTAAAGCACGTACAGCAGCATCAATTATAATACGTGGTGCAAATGATTTTATGTGTGATGAAATTGAACGTTCTGTACATGATGCTCTATGTGTTGTTAAACGTGTATTAGAATCAAAACAAGTTGTACCCGGTGGTGGTTGCTGTGAAACAGCACTTTCAATTTATTTAGAAAATTTTGCTATAACAGTTGTAAGTATTTTATTAAACTCAAAAATATATATTACATGTTTTTTTTTCTCTAGAATTCACGAGAACAATTAGCTATTGCTGAATTTGCCTCAGCACTTTTATCTATACCTAAAGCATTAAGTGTCAATGCTGCACAAGATGCTACTGATCTTGTAGCAAAACTTCGTGCTTATCATAATGCATCACAAACACAAAAAGATAAAGAACCATTAAAATGGTTTGGTTTAGATCTTCAAGCTGGTAAAGTTCGTGATTGTAAATCAAATGGTGTATTTGAACCAGCAATATCAAAAATCAAATCATTAAAATATGCAACAGAAGCAGCGATTACTATTTTACGTATTGATGATATGATTAAACTTGATAAAGAAGAAAAAAAAGGTAGACATGGTGATGAATGTATGTAATAAACAATCAATCAATCAAAAAAAGCTTGTTTGTGTGTGTGACTTTTTTGTGTTGTTATATTTTTTTTTATTTACTATTTTTATTGTTATCGTTTTTTATATACCCTAGAAAAAAAAACTTCTATTACTCGCAAATATATATATAAATATACAAAAATTTCTTTTTTTCCTTTCTATAACAAGATCATAAGGTTATTAAGAGAATACGAACATGAATAGTTGACTACAATCAAATATATACAAGAAATATATTTAAATATCAATGAATTGCAAATCGATATTTGATTTAAGGCGATACAGTAGTTTTAGTTTTGTGGTTAGTATATGTTATATGGTGACCACATACGAGTCGGGTAGTATACGAAATAATTTATTATGGCATTAATTCAACGGTATTCAACTGAACTTTCAACACATGCTACTACTACTAATAATAATACATCAATTGCACATGTTGCTGATGATATAGCATCTATAAAAAAACATGATGAAGATGAAAAACGTTATTTTCATTCATTAAATGATCGTCTTGAAGAATTTCTTCGTAGTTTAAATGTTCTTGAATTAGCAAATAAAAAATTACGTGATGAATTAAATTTATTAATAACAAGTTGGGGAATAAGTGGAGAAAATCGTGCACGTTTTTTACAAGAACTTGATCATTTAACAAAACAATTATCTGAACATAGTCGACGTAAAGTACTTCTACAAGCTGAAACAAAAATTTTCGAAGAAGAAACACATTTAATTGATCGTGTTACAGCTGTTTTTATTGATGTAATTCATTTATATGAAGATAAAAAACAAATCTTATTTCATTTAATACAACAATTAGAAGATGAATATCATAAAATTAAACTTCGACTTGATATAAGTAATACACAAGTTAAATCTTGTGATGATGATTATCAAAAAGAAGTAGCTAAATTTCGTACCTATCTAGCTGAATGGTCACAAATCGCATTAGATAAACAAAAATTAATAATTGAAATTCAAACACTCAGAGAACATTATAATCTTCGTTTAGCTTATAATCAAGAAGAGATTAATGAATGGAAACGTTTATTAAATCGTATATCACAAGAATCAAAAAATTTTTATAAAGATTATTTAGAAACAATAAAACAACAAATATATAGTGATTATGAAAAAATGGCAAAAGAACAACAAATGGATGTTGAAATGGAATTAAAAACACGATTAACAGAAATACAAGAAAAAATTAATATGGGTGTACCTCTTGATGAAAATGGTTAATATTAATATATATAATCATTTTTTTTTAAATTTCATCTTTTCTTTTAGAAGAACGACGTCGTCGTGAAGAAACTCATCGTTTTGAAACTCGTCTTAATGAATATACACAAGAACATGATCATCTTCAATCTGATTTTAGAAAATTAGCTGAAGAAGCTCAACGTAAACGACGTTTATTACAAGATCTTGAAAATGAAGCAAGAAATAAAGCACGTAAACATGCTGAACAACATGCTCGTCTTGTACAAGATACTGATTTTACACGTGCAGAATATTATGCATTAAAAGATGAATTAGATAAAATGGCGTATACACTTCGATTTAGTATTGAAGAAGAATTAAGAATTTATGAAACTTTATTAAATTCATTAAATCGACAAAAAGATGAACCACGTCCATCTATTGATGAATCAACTGGTTTTCGACATACAAAAACGACAACAACAACAACAAAAACAAAAGCGGATACAGGTGATGATGTAATAAAATATCGACAACCATCAATATCAACAGTAACATATAATGAAAATACGGATCAAAATCGATTTGGTATTGCACAAAGTATGCTTAATCAAAATCAAACAACAACAAAAACAACAACACGAACAACACGACGTGGTGGTGGTGGTGGTCAAGAATCGGATGGACGACAACAACAAATAAATGTTAAAATGGAACAAATGGAACAAGAAGTACCTGAACTTAATGAAAAATATATGCAAAGTAAAATTCATATTACACGTAAATATAAAGGTAAGAAAATAATTTTGTTGATTTTGAAAAAAAAACAAAATTTTTTATTTTTAGGAAATGTTCTTATAAAATTCGTTGATGTTGGTGGTCGTTTCGTAGAAGTTGAAAATACCGGTAATCATACACGTGATTTAACTGGATGGTATATTGAACGAGTTGTTGATGGTCGACATATTAATTATATGTTTCCTAATTTTGAACTTGATTCACATAAAACAGTTCGAATCTATGGAAATTATCATCAACGATCTGCACCGATCCCCGCAGATGATTCTTATGTACAACTTATTGCATCAAATTTTTATGATTGGGGTACAGGAAGACAAATGCGTACTGAATTGTTTAATCGTGATGATGTTGGTAAAGCATTATTTGAACAAACAATAAAAGAGTAAAACAAAAAACAAATATATCTAGATGAACTCATAAATTTTTATAGTGAAGTATCTATAATAAATAACATTTTTTTTTCAAAACTTAAATGAAGCTATAGGTTTTACTTGTAAAGAATCATGAACAACGAAATTAACATATAGTAACATAACAATTCATACCGTTGTCTAAAAATATGAATTATCATATGTTAATCTATCATTTATAAACTATAACTACCATCATTATTATTTAATAACGAATCTTTGAATTCTTTCTGGGAAATTATATTTCTAATCATAGTGTGAAATTTCAAAAGCCACTTGTCATTTTTGTCTAATAATCGATCGCATAACAAATGACTCGATGAGAAGAGTCATGATATGAACTATTAGAATAGAATGAAACAACTTATAGCTATATTAGATAATCTTGTCTTAACTGATCCATCTGCTTGACATTTTCTCTTCTCTTTTCTGTCAATATATAGGTAAAGGCGTGAATTGGAATTTTAAGTCGATCATGTGTATATATATATATGCACAGCTTGATATCAATATTAAAGAGTGCGTGTGAAGAGAAAAAGAAGAAGAAAAAAAAATCTGTCTTCGTATTCATTCGTTTCGTGTGGCATTTTGCAATTAAACGACGTGGGGAAGGAAAAAAAGAGAAAACGTTCAAAGCGAACGAAGAAAAAAGAAGAAGAAGAAGAAGAAACGAACACGTATATATAATCACATTCCACACATTCCAATGTCGCTTTAGTTCATTCATTTAAAAGAAGACACTTTCAAATTATTCAACGAAAATTAATCTATTCGTAAAGGTGAAATACATACATTCTCTCGATGGCACATGCATTTGACAATCGAAATTTTATTCCCGGTAAACAACAAACATTTTATTCAGTGGTTTCACCATCATCACGTCCTGATATAACAAATGTTCTTTGGGAAGCTTCATCATCTCCATCACTATCACCAAGAATTCAATCATCATCACCACAAGCATCACCAAAACCAAATCATCCTCCACCATCTTATGAAGAAAGTATTTTTAATAAAGCTTTAGCTAATCGTCATAATTCTCAATCGTCACTTCATTCACCAACAATCCGTTATTATTCAAATCATCAACAACAACAAAATAGCCCAAATTCAACATCATTTGTATCTTATTCATCACCATCAACACCAATTGATCGTAATCATTACCAAAGAGAACAACAACAACAACAACCAGTAATAGGTAAAGAAAGAAAAAGATAACATACTCTAATTTCATGATAATGAGATAAGACTAAAAATGTATGGTTAGTCGATTTAACATTTCTTCATAAGTAATCTCTAATTCATATATAGATATTTATTTTGATTTAGATGGATATTATCCACTTGCTTCACCACATCGAAGTTCTGATACGAAACCTCCACCACCTGCTCGTATGCCTAAAGTATCATCAACAATAAATAATAATAATTCAATTCATCGTTCAAATGCTTTACCTCAATTTTCGCCAAATGGTATTAAAACAAGTACAACTTATCTTAATACAACACAACTTCATATAAATCAATCATCACCTCCACCTCCACCACCTCGTTATCCACTTCAACCACCAGCTATTCCACCACGAGGTTCTCCTATATGTCATCAATCAATTTCAGATTTTAATTCGTTAGCATCACCAAAACCTACTAGTCAAATGATCTATCGATCACCTGTTATTTCATCAACAGCAAAACGAAATGATATCTCACTTGAAAAACAATTTCATTCACTTTCAATAACTCATAATCAATATCATGGAACAACAAATGGATTTAATAAAAACGAATATTCCATAGGTCAATGTCGAAAATGTCATGAAACAATAATAAATACAGATGATTCTTGTAATATACTTGGTCAAATTTATCATACTTCTTGTGCTGTATGTGTTATATGTGGACGATCAGTAAAAAATAAACATTATTTTGTTAAAGATCAATTATATTGTGAAGAAGATTTTTTGGTAAATTTCATTATACATTAATTTTTTCTTGAAAAAAAAACAAATTTTATTTTTTTAGTATACAGGTTTTCATCAAACACTTGAACATTGTATAGCATGTGGTCATTTAATTACTGATACAGTAAATTATTTCAAATTAATTTACAATAAAAAAAAATCTTTTTTATTAAGGTTTTACAAGCACTTGGTCAATCGTATCATTTAACATGTTTTAAATGTTCAAAATGTTCGATATGTTTAGATGGTATACCATTTATAACTGATAAAAATAAAAATCTTTTTTGTTTACATGATTATCATATGTAAGAGACTATTTCTTATTTAAATAAAATTATCTTATTTTTCATTTAGGACTTATGGACCACGCTGTGATAAATGTTCAAATCCAATATGTCCAGAAGATGTAAATAAATAAATAAATAAATAAGAAATATCAAAATTTAATATTGTCTTTTAGGATTCAAATGAAACTGTACGAATTATTTCAATGGGTAAAACATTTCATGTCCAATGTTATCAATGTCAAGTATGTACATTAAGATTTTTATCAAAAAAAAAATTAAAATAATTTATTTAGGATTGTTCATTACAATTAAATGATGAACCAGATCGTCGTTGTTATCCATTAGATAATATATTACTTTGTCAAGCATGTTGTCGTCGACGTCTTGCATCAGCTAATAACAATTCATAATAATAATAAACATATTTCTTTGTTAGATATTATTTTGCCATTAATAAAATTATTATTATTATTATTTTTTTGTTCTTGTTCGAGAAAAAAAAACAACATGACTTTATCTTTGTTTATTTTCTTTTTTGATAATAATTAGTTCATTGATATTGACATTTGTATGGTTCAATTACCGTGTAAAAGATATGTGATTCTTGTGGGAGGAATTTTATTGAATATATATTTATCGATGTTTTCTAATGAAAGGCACTAGATGAAAGAATATGATAACATATTATTCTTATGTTATGAATGAGTCTATTTTCGTGATATAGACATTACTAAAAGGCGTTTGATGTTTTTTATAATTACAGCTATCATTGAAATTATAATAATGTATATAAAAAAAGAAATGACTCACATCACGTTCCATCAAGGACGATTAATTATTAGAAAAAAAAATCTACAAGTTCATAATTTTTAGATTGTCATAAGTTAGTTTTTCTATTCATCATCATCAAGTTAAGAACAGAACGACTAATACGAGAAAAAAAAAGTCAGTCACCCATTCTAAAGTCGTCCTCGATAATTTTTTTTTGTACATATATTTGCTACTGTTTTGACAGATGAGATACCTATCGTCAGGTTACTTGTCGCTGTCATGGCTTTTCATTTTCTTTTCTTTATATGTGAATAACGTGAAAGGGTAGGAAAAAGAAGGTAATAGTCGGGTGACTGCGCACATTGATTATTTCTTAGTGATAGTGTGTAGTGGCCATGAATTTTTCAAAATATATAATAATATTTATGTACATTCATTTAAAGAGAAAAGTTACATTATCGAATTTATTTTTCTTAGTCATTTTTATTTTAGACTACAGATGTGCGCAAAAAAATTTAATGCATATTTTGATCCATCAAGTTTTTTCTTTGGACAATCTCGTAAACGTGGATTACCAAAGGTACCCGTAGATGAAGAAGTTAATGAAGAATCTGGTTATTATAGTTCATCGTATGGTTCCGGCAGTGAATCAAGTGATGCACCTCTTCGTTTTATTATTATTCGTCATGGTGAACGTGTTGATGTTATGTTTGGGGCTGGTTGGACACAAAAAGCTTTTGATCATAGTGGTGCTTATCATTGTTTTGATGCAAATATGCCACCATCATTACCACATCGAACAAATTGGGTTGATTATGATGTTGATACTCCATTAACTGCAAAAGGTTTATCTCAATCATGGAATGTTGGTAGTGTTCTTGCTAGATATAATTTACCGGTAACAGCTTGTTATTCATCACCAGCTTTTCGTAGTATTCAAACAGCCGATCGAATACTTGAAGGCATGAGTAGAAAAGGTAAATAAATAATTGTCTAATAATTTTATTTTATTTTTTTTATTTTAAGGACATGTTCCATTACGACTTGAACTAGGTCTTTTTGAATGCACATCTTGGTATGCACGATCACCAATTAATTTCATGTCCGATGAAGAATTACTTAATGGTAATTATAACATCGATACACATTATCGTTCACAAGTAAGCGATCTGCGATTATTAGAAAATGAATATCAATATTATGATCGATCGAAAGAAGCAATGAAAAAAATTATTAGATTACATCGAAAAACAGGAGGTACGATTTTACTTGTTGCACATGCACCTAGCCTTGAAGTACTTACACGTCATTTAATGAATGGACAACCAAGGCCTGAACGATTAGCTGAACTTGCTGGAAAAGTTGATTTCTGTAGTATGACAGTTGTTGAAAGAGAATCATCAACAAAACCATGGCAATTTCGATATTCATTGGATGAACAAGCTAATCAAGGTATTTGGCAGCAACAACAATTACAATTACAACAAGCAAATCATGCATTGATTCCTTCGAAAAGTCATACTCCAGCAGTACAATCATCATCATCATCATCACATTATCAACCACCAAATACATTTGCCAATTTTTTAGCAAAGCCATCAAATTCAGCACATCAACATCAATATTTTCCACAGCAAGATGCTTATCCACCTTATTTTGTACTATAAATCATTGTTGAGTATATCATCAGAGTTTTATTGTAATTTCATATCTTAAATAATATGATCATGTGATTGTTGTTTAGCAGAAAGAATATTTTCATTAATCAAATGTTATACTTGATTTCAAGATATTTTAATTTTTATTAATCAAAAAGATTATGAGATGTTTGATGTAAACACGGAAAGTTTTATAATTTCTTTATAATAATAATACTTCGTAAGAACTTGAACTCATAATAACGATATAAATTCATGGTTTACTGTTATTTAAGATTCAGAATATTAGATCTTAACTATGGAAATAAATCAACATTTTGTTTCATGGTTTTATAGAATGAATAAAATCATTCGCGTGACATTCTATATTAAAACTAAGAAGTAGATTGATCGATATTTATGTTTCATAATTTTGCAATACCATATCATGCGTCAAATACGCTATGTAACACCTTTAATTTCTCATTACAATTTATGTCTATTCAGTTTAGTAGGGCATATTACCTCATCATCGATTTTTTTTTTGAATAAATATGTATGTTATCTATATTTATACGAATGATCTCATTTAAAACTGCACGGTATTAAGTAGTATTTATGATTTGCTTATATCTTTTTCTTAATATTTATCAAGCCTTCGATCGTACTTTTCAATTTAAACGTAGTGAATCGATTATGAGTGTATTAGTTTTCTAAAGCACATGATAATGACAATAATATTAGAAGGAATATTTCGATTCAACTTGTAAGATGCATCTATAATTCAATTTGCTATTGTTTTAAAATAGCAAATGCATTAAATAGATGTGTTATTGTTGACTTCAACTTTCTCTTTTTACTGCTATGAAATGATGTGTAATTAAATTCGTAGAGTCCAAGATTCGAATAAATAAAATTGAAATAATGCATTATATGAGATGACAGTCTATATTTTGTTTTTTTACGTTGTCGAAAATATTGAAAGGTTATTGATCGTACTTGTGAGATTATTAGCATCTGTTCTATTTTAACCATTGCTGCGGAATGATTTATGCAATTATTGTTCTAAAATCAACTCTTTTAAAAAACAGGATGACATAAGATATTTTTCTTATTATGCTCGTTATTTCTAATAATTTATGTATTGAGTATTTTTACCAAATAACAATACAGTAGACTGATATATAATTTCATTTAAATGGGAAACTGAATAAAAAGAACACAGGTTGTTATCATCGATCATTCTACTAAGCAGAGTCTAGAGAGATATGCCAGAATTAGAATAAAAATAAAAACATGTGAAAAATATACAGCATTATACGTGTAGGAGATCACATTATTTACTATCATATGACTACATCTGTTCTTATTTCACATATTCGACAATAACAGGGTTCTCATTTTCTTTATAAAGCCTCGTTTAGTTATCAATATTAGTGTCATCGTTAGTTCGATTCTATTAGCATGTATCAATACATTGTTCTTTTACTTGTATGCTATTCAGCAGTTAATGCTGGTCCAATCAATTTATTTTTAAATGCAACTATTGATGATCAACCAAATTTAGAAATTATTGATGGTGATATTGCATTCGAGGCCGGTAAAGCACCTCCTCTTGGTTCAGAGAGAAACGCTTACATTCAAGCATCAAAATGGACTGGTGGTACTATTCCATATTTAATCGACGGAGGAGTTTATACAGCTGCACAAATTCAAACAATTAGAAATGCAATGCTTAGAATTGAACAACAAACAAGTAGTTGTATTCGTTTTGTACAACGTACAAATCAACCAACATGGATACGAATCTTTCCTGGCTCAGGGTAAATCATATGATCATTTTATTAATAATTTATATTATAATAAAATAGTTGTTGGTCATACATGGGACGAACAAAAACAAGCGGTGCACAAGATCTTTCAATTGCTACTCCAGGCTGTGCTTATCAAGATATTGTTATGCATGAATTAATACATGCTGCTGGTTTCGCTCATGAACAGACTAGACCTGATCGAGAATCATTTGTTACTATTAACTATAACAATATTCAAAGTGGTACTGAAAGTAACTTTCAAAGATATCTTACAACACAAGCAGACACACTCGGTAGAGCTTATGATTATGGTAAGATAATACTTGATAAAATTCGTAACTATTCATTTTTGGATTCATTTAGCTTCTATCATGCATTATAAATCGACCGCTTTTTCTAAAAATGGTCAAGCAACAATAACTGCAAAAAACGGTGTTTCAGCAGCAATATTAGGAAGTTCAAAAGAAATGACCTCTTTGGATGTACAAAAACTTCGAGCATATTATGGTTGTGCTTAATCTTTTTTGACAAACTAAACATAAATTGAAAATAAATTATTCAACTATCAATCAATCTTGATATTCTTTAATTTTCATAGAAAAAAAGATGAATACTCATAATTAAATGAAAACAATCAAAATCTAAAGACAAGAAAACCTCAACCACACATTGACAAAACAATAAAAAAAAAACGAATAAGAAAACTATATACATATGTAGAACAATTTAAAATAAATAAATTCTTACAAACAAAAATTTGACTGAGCCATTAAAAATAAACAAATTGAAGAAATTCACTACTACTTCTATTTAATGTCTTACTCGAACAAACGGATGTATTGTACGATTAAATAAATTTTTATCGATTTGACTATCAAACATAAATCGATTACATTCTTCTCGTTTAAACATACGATTCGTATTAGTATTGTTATTAATCATATATTGACCATAATAACGATGAAGAATAGGATTTACTGATAGAAGATGAAGAGTATTAAAAGTCATTAAACGTGATGAATCAAGTTCAGATGTAAGTGTCATATAAGGTCCATCTGAATTTTGACGAAATGTACAAGCTAAATTATTAATTGTAATATTTAACTAAAAATTTAAGTTAGTAAAATTCTATTTGAAATAAAAAATTTATCAGATACCCTGTGTATTATTCTACCACGTTTATTCATACATAACCATACACCAGATACATAATTTTGAATTTGAACGCGACTATAAGCACCCACGGATCGAAAAGCAAAAATTGCTTTAAGAAAAAAATATGATTTTATATGAAATAATAAGAAAAAAAGAAATTTACTTGATGGATCTTGACGATTTTGAACAAGAGTTCGATGAGGTTGTAATTTAGAAAATCGAAGATAAAGTGATCCAGGTAGAATATTACAATGAAAAACAATACGATAATAACGTATCGTTGCTAAATGAGTACCGTCTGGTTGTCGATATAGAAAGCTGACTAATGATGGTCGATATCGACGATCTTCAGCTCGTTTATAGTGAATATATAGATATGGAGGTTTTTGATCAACAACTGGTAAAGATATTGGATAGGATAATATTGGCTAAATCATAAAGATAAAAAAAAACAAAAGATTTATTTATCTTTAAATATTATAACATCGATTCTTGTTTTTTCTTCTCTATAATTATCTATTAACTTTGTATTGATGATATTGTATAACAGAAATGGCAACAGCGGTAACTACAGTTCAAATTTCTTCTCCCATTTTTTTTTCTCAATTCTTTACGGTTATTCATAACCATCATTACTAAGATTAAACGACCATCATTTCGTATATATGTATGATGTAATTTTCTCTTACAACATTACGAATGGAAATAGTAGAGTATAATCGAGTGAGCTATGAACATTTGTTACGACTACTAATAAATTCAATCAATGAATAGAAGAGAAAAGGAAGAGAATTTAACTACACCGGAACTACTCGTTGATGTAATCATTATAGCTATTTACAACCTACATTTTGCTTACCGACATCATTAACGAAGCAAACAATAACAAAAATATTATTTTCTTTTTATAGGTTTTCTTTTTCCAGTAGTACTATCATATGCTTCGATTAGGTTATCAAGTAATATTATCAACAAAAATATATGTTAATTTTTTTGATAAAAATAAATCATACATTTTTTTTTGCTTCTATATGTATACATATATATATATATATTCATAGTCATACAATCATACCTGTGACATAGTTAACAGCTACATGATATATACAATAGACAAGGAAATGTAAACAATTATCAATTATACACACATATTCTAGGTAATAATCTTTCATTGTCAATGTTTGTTGATATAGTATCAAAAAATAAGAAAACATAATAAAGTATCGTCTAAGTATGGAACATAAGTGAACGATATATCAAAAAAATATGAGCAATATCATCAGGATAATGAAAACATAATATATATATATTGTAACGCTTATCAAATATAAATACGAACAACCCGCACATCATTATTACTATTGTCAAGCCTTGACGCAGTATGATGTTCTTCGTCATTATATATGTAATCGATGAGAATATAAACATCACCTTCTGACGCATATGCATTGATACTATAATGAACTGCCTCTTTTTTTTCTTCTTCTTTTTAATAGTTATGTTTTCTTTTACGCATTAATATTATGAAATGAATATATATATATGTATATCTACAATATGTACTGATAGTAACTTTCATCAGACATAAATTCAAATATTTGTACTGATTTATGTGAATATTATGATAAAAAAAATAGCATTCGTAAACTAGTCTTTTTTTTGTTCTCCTTACAATTCAACACTTTCTTATATACATTTGAACACACTCAAACGAGATCACAATCACCTAATACATATACTCCTTGAATACATTCAATGAACTCGGATTTATTCATAGATGAAAACTAATGAAGATCATAAACTGATATGTTAATGTATACATAAATTCTTCTCAATGAAATAAATGGATAATAGTCTTGAATTCAGATCATACAAAATAATAAATTTCTCATCAATCAAAAAAAAAAGTAATTCTTTCTTACCACAGCTAAAAGACTGGCTGTTAAAATAAGTAATAGAATTACTGTTGTTGCCATCCATTCGTCAACATAAGTTGAAACAACATATTAATAAATTGATCAATCTATGCATAAAAAAAAGAAATATTATTCAAAATAAATTCATTTGAAAGAAAATTATCTCATATTATACAAAAATACAGAATAAAGTCAATGAAAGGATTTATATTCGTATTGTATTATTATTCGTGGAAGAAAATTATATGAAGGCAAAATAGAAAAGACGAACAAGAAAATTACATATACTCTCCTTTTTCATCATTGCTCTCGTTTTTTTCGTATGTATATTCCCGTTCTCTCTCTCTCTCTTATTCTCTCTTCGATGTTTCGTCTACTATACAAGAGGGAGAACAAAAAAGAAATGATATATATTGTCATCCTCTCTCTCTCTTCTCATGTTCAATTGATTTTTCTTAGTAATAACTATTCTATAAAAATTGTTCATCATTATTATAATAAACTAAAGTTAAATGACATCTACATTGATTTTACTTTCAATAGTCAAACAGAAAAATATTATGTCTATATCAAAAAAAAAAGAAAGTAACATAATCAATCGATTAGATAGACATAACTTTTTTTTTCTATTATCAAATTTCTATCATTTATTTGCTCTGTCTATATACATCTTAAATTTGATAATCATTGTTAGATGAAATAAGAAGTTTTTCAACCCTGAACTCTTTCATCATGCATGCATCCTGATTTGATCATTCAGAAAAAGTTAACAAATGGTGTACATTCAATTAAATGACTACAAGGTTATTAAAAATTTTATTTTGATTAGTCTATTTAAATTCAATTGTTTGATTCTGTCAAATGAATATAAGCATATATAAACGTACGAAGATATTTAGTATTGATTACAGATTGATACACACCTGTCTAGATTTAATGATATACTCTTTATTTGTTTTAAAACGGTAAGACGCATATCAGTAAATTTATACTGTCAATAGCACATGCTGCGTATTCAAACATCTTTAAGGTAAATTATAATAGTAACTATCGTTCTATTTCATGCGTATCTTTAAATTAATATATGGAACAAGTGTACTAATCGAAGAAAAATATAAATAAACGAGAAGCGAGGTCAAAGAAAAAAAGTATTTTCTCAGAGTACAAATGTTTAATAAAACGTAGAATAAATTTTTTTAATGCAAATGTTCCTTGATATATCATTTGATCTAATAGAGCTTCGCATATTTATTGTCATTTTAGAAACCTTATATATAAATCTAACTTTAGTTAAATATATAGAAGAAGAAAAAAAAACAGTATTAATCTTGTTTTTTTCAAAAAATGACATGCAGATCTTTTTATTATGTACATTCAAAAGACATCATACAAATGCAAAACCATTACTTTCAATCGTATAAACAGTACATTTTATGTTTTTTTGTTGTTACATAAAGAATTAAGAATAATAATGCCTTGATCATAGTATTAAGAACATACATTCCTAGATTCCGAAAAGAATTTTTAGCAAAAAAGAATTGATTTATACTTTATTTTTCGAAGAAAAAAAAGATACATTTGAATTCTTGTTATAAGTGGTGTCATGTTTGAGATTTATTTCTCAATAATTGACTTAACCATGACATAGCAAATGTGCCATTGTGTATTGAACGATAAGAAGAAAAGGTTATTATATGACCCTTATGTTGAAACGTGATACGATAAAATTGTGTATATGAGGAAATGAATAATAAATGGTATCAAAGGAGTGAACAATACAAAATCTTGATAAAGTCAAATGTTCCATTTTCTTATATTTAATTCTCTATGTGAATTTTTATCTAAAGCGAGGATCTATCGAGTAATTGGAATAAAGAAATTATTAACGAATTCATCTATGTAAAACACATTTTGTTTAATTGCGTAATGTCTTTCCATCAATACAAGAGTTTAGATTATCAATTTTTGAAGACTATAGATAGTGTTTTTCAATAATAAACGAAAACTGATTGTAAAAATAGCAAGTCTATATATCACACTTGAAAAATCTACTGCTTTTGTATAATACTTGTTTAAATATCGGACCCAATATTTTAAAGCAAAAGAGTTGTTCTTCACAGATTTTCTTACTTACGACGATTTGTTATATCATGAATTATGTGTATACAATTTTTGATGACTGTATCTCTTGAAAGAGATATTTCGTTTTTCAAATTTAAAGAAAAAATTCTTGAATAGTTTATTTATCATTATTCACTCATAAACAAACAAGCATTCAATTTTTAACTTCAATAGAAAAATTCACACAAATAAATCACAAATTTGATTATCACGGTAGATATAAAAACAAACAAATCAATTTAAAAATGAAAGAAATATATCACCGATTTTCACTAAACAAGATAAACTACCTAAAAATGCACAAACAAAAATAATGTTTTTAGTGTCCAGCAAGATGCATTGCACTAATAGTTTTGTCAACAAAAGACTATAAATTAAATAAATAGTTAAATTAAGACAACTAAATTAAATTTACCTTAGCTTCGATAGCATTTGTGTATCGAACTACTTTTCCATATGATACATGTTTTTTCCTTATCGTTCCAGTCTTTATTGGTTCCTAGAAAAGAAATATAAAAATCCTCATGAACTTTGAAAAAAGCTGTAGGAGGGAGGACCCCTTAGCCACTGTCTAGTTACACGTCTACTTTACAATAGTCAACGGAGGTTTTGTCCATTGTTTTTGATAATAAAGATGATTTCATTTTATTCTATGTTAACTTACTTTTCTTAAAATTTCAATTTGTTTTGAATCAATTTTAATAGTTGGTTTTCCAGATATGTCTTTATATTCGATTTCATCATCAAGTTCATAGTCACCAAAATATGATACTTGATATACAAATAATAATCGTCTGAGAAAGAAAAAAAGAAACATAATAAAATTTTAAAATAAATTTCCTTTTATACTGTGATGTTGCTATTAACCAAGATGGTGATGATGAATCTCCTTGACAAATTATATGAGCAACATATGTATCTCCAAGTTTTGAATATTTTCCATCTTCTACTTTCTATAAATGGAAAAGAGAGTAAACAATTTTTAAATAATTAAAAGAAATTTTAATATTACATTTAATATATAAAATCCCGTGGCTTCATGAGAAACATAAGGTCGAACAAGACCATCAGCACCAACATGACGTGGATAACGAACACGACGAACAATTTCTTCGGGTTGAACAGTTCTATGAAAAAAGATTTATCAACATATAATGACGCGTCACAGGAATTAAAAATATAGTTCAAGATTAATAAAATGAATAAAAAGCTTTTTAAAGTCTATTCTAATTCTCATGAACTAAAGCTAGAGATATGTCTGTAAAATACAAAAAAGATCATAATTTGTAAGTATCTTGAATAGTGATTCTATACGAGAATATATTTTTACAATAGAGTATAAATAACTTGAGAAACAAAAAGAATTTCATTTTAATTAATGATTTCATATCTTTCCGAAAGATGCAATCTTACCGTTTAACTACATCAAGAGATGTACTAGCGAAATCCACCATTCCACCTGCTGGTCGTGCTACAAGACCAATAGCACCTTTTCCCAAACCCTTAAAAAAACCAACTGTTCCACCACTTTTTGCTCCTTCCAGAGGTTTTGTTATAACACCTGTTATACCACCAGCAAAACCCTATTTTATAAGAATCCAATCTTAAATTCACATTCAAACAAAAGATTCTGAACATACCCGAGCAACATTTCTTGCACTATTTGCCATATCTGTTCTTTTACTTCCTCCTGGATCTTTACGTTGATTACGTGCAGCTTTATAATCATCATCAAATGTTAATGTAGCTAAACTTTTTCCAAATACACCAGTTATTTTTGAAACAGCTCCAGTCGCACCACCTACAGCTGAACCAAACAATGTTGTAACACCTGTTCCTATACCTTCAATGAATTCCATTGGACCCTCAACTGCTCCCTTAAACGTAGAAAATAAAAATATCAATCAGTTTTATCTTCTCATTTATATTCTGAAACTTTACTTTATATGGTTCATAGAAAAATGATTCAACACCTTCTGCAAGACCACGAATAACTCCAAGTGGATTTCCAAGTACATCAAGACCAAGTACCAAAACATGAAGTTGTTTCATAAATTGATTTTGATAATGAGATGTAACATCGGCTGTTATTCTTGATACGGTAAATTTATCATGAACTCGTTCATAATAACCCAAACTAAAAATATATGTATAGAATCAAATGTATATATATTTATTAAAAAATTCTCACCGTAAAATAACGTCTTGTACTTCTGTAATATTTAATGTTTGTAAAAGAAATCCAACTATTGGATATTCAGCTAATAATTCTTCACTTGGATTTTGTCCATGCATTGAAAAACTAACATGAATCTAAAGAAGATTTCTTTCTTATTTTAAATATAATTTCTTTTTTTCCTCATACTTTAAGTGGTGATAAATGAATCTTATCAAAATACATTTGTGTTTCACCAGTTGGAGTATCTATTTGTGCTTTAATAATCAAGTCAAGTGGTTTTTTAATGTATTCTAAATCTGAATCCATATTTACTGTTGGTGCTGCTGAATTCTATTGAAATAAAACAAAGAATCAATACGAAAAAAAATAACAAAAGAACTAACGTTTTCTGCTCGTAAAAATAAAAGAAGTGCAACAATTAAACCTTGATCAATTTTAACAGCAAATTCTTGAATAAGTAATTGACATTGTTTAAATTGTACAATATCAGATCGTGTTGTTTTAGTTTGAACAACACTTAATTCAACAAATGCTTTTTCAGCAAGATCAGTTCCTGCTGCTTTCGATATAACTGGATGGAACATAACAGGAAATGTTGTATAACTAAGTTGATTATCGATTTGTAATCGACTAACACGTAGATGTATTGCAGAAGTTGTTACAGACCATGCATATTCCATATATAGACCATCTAATGCTTGTCGTTTAAACTCTTTTGGACGATCTTTAGAATTAATTACTTTGGCTGAATTTTCATCAAATAAAATTTCCTTTTAAGAAAATAAATAATTTCAATTAATTGTTTTGAAATAAAAGAATTAAATTATACTCGATATTTATCTGTCTCATATGTTTTTCTTAATAGTTGTTTATTATCTGGATAAGCTTCACGTTCTGCCATATGACTTTGATATAGTGCTTCTAATTGATCATGTATATCTTTTGATAAAGGTTTAGCACGATTTTTTTTGGTTTCAGTCCAAACTACTTTAGATTTATTTAAACTTATGTAAAGCATCTCTTCTCGTGTTCTATCATTAACAATAGAAATGCCAATATCATATATACCAATTTGTATACGTTGATCCATAGATTCAACTAATGATGGTACCTAGAGAAATATTATATTTTACAATATTTGTTTTTTCAATGAAAATAAAGTAAAAGGGAAAATACATACACCTGAAGCTGCTTCGATTATTTTTAGATCATCAGACAAAAGTAAAACTGTTTGTACACCATCAATAAATACAGTATAATTTAAATTACGTTCACCGTCTTTACCAATTGAACCACATTGAGGCTAGAATGATTATAAATCTTGATTAATATAATCTTACGAAAAAATTTAACTACTATAAATTTATATTTAAATCTTGAGGGTGTGGGGGCGAACATGTCTTTTCTTAACCTCAACGACACCCTTGTAAATCTTTTATAACTAACATTAAAAATCTCGAAAAGCTGAGCAATATTTGATTGTATATTTTTAATATGACTGAATCAGTTTATATCTAGATCTTAAGTTTGAGTTGGATTTCTATTATTTCATTTGATTGTAGGAGATTTAAATCTAGATGTGTATCAAGTTATAAATATCCTGAAATACTAATCTTTACTATTGCTATTTATTAAGAATTAGTTAGACAATTCTCTTAATTATATAAAAATAGAATAACTTACATTAAGATCTATTTGTGCTGATTTTGATCCACATAATATGACTAATTCTCTTGGTTTTAAAGGATCCATCCATGTATGATAAGTATAATGTAATTCTGGCAAAATTTGTGATCGTCTATTTTAAAGAAAAAACAGTGTTTAAGATTATTATCATAATATAAAATATCTTTTTCATTTACTTATCATCACGTTGACAAAAAGTAATTGATTCAGTTTTTAAACAATTAACAATAAGTAATGGTGCATCACCAACTTTATAATCTCCAAAAATAACTCGAACACCATCAAAATCAGTTGCATTTACTTCAACATTAATTGCTGGACGTTCTTCATCATCCATACGTAAAAGTGTACGATGTTTTTGTTTAAATAAAAATGGAGTTGATGCTATTTGATTATGTGTATAACGAACACGCATAGTACCTTCTTTTGCATTACATGGCCAAAACGGAATTAACTAAATATTTAATTTTTCTATTGATATATTAAAAAGAAATTCTAGGTTTCTTTACTTGATCTGGATTAACTGTTTCCCATTTACCTTGTTCTTTATCCGCTACAGTTTCTATAACTTCAATGCCAACCTTTTCATAGGAAATAAAAACCCAATCAATTATTTTCAAATATATTCTTTTTTTAACTTACACTTGATTGATTACTAATAACCATTGATGGTGAAAGTGTAATAAGTTTTGTTGAACCAAATGAACTTGTGACAATATCCACAGTAATCTATTTAAAGAAATTTTTTGTTTATAGAAATTTCTTATATCAATTTTTCTTCTTTACCATATATGTTCGATCATTTGGTACTTTACAACCTGTCACACCCGTACTTTTAATAACATCAAGTGAAAATTTCTCTGACCAATTTGCTGTAACATCCGTTTGTCCTAGACCATAAACACGTATTTGACCCTAAATATATAACTTGTGAGTATTTGACTTATTTCTAAAATTCTTTACTTTTTTGTTTGCTCCACTTGAGAATTTCTCTGGACAAAATAAATATGGTGTTTCAATTACATCAATAAATACTGGATGATTTTCAATCTATAGACAAAAGAATCGTATCAAATGATAACAAGACTTTTGTTTTATTTTTACTTGAAGTTCAAGTTTAAGATTTGTACGATTAAGTATCCAAAATGGCGTATATAATGATAAACGATATGAGTCATGATATGCATCAACACGTAACATCATTCTCTTCAAAAATTAAAATAAAAAATAAATATTCAAATGTTTTTTCTTTTCTTACCAAGATTTGTTGATTATCAGCGCTATGAAAAATGACAAGATGTTCATTATTATCACCTGTACCTTCCGCTTTTAAGTCAACAGGTTCAGATGTCCATATGATATTGTTATATGATGGAATCTTAAATTTATTGAGAGATTTATCATTAATAAAATAAAATAAATAATAACTTACTGTAAAATTTAATACAGAACTTTTATTACCAGATGTAATTAATTGTAATTGACTTGGTTTTAGTTCAAATGTTTCAACATTCTAAATAATAAATATAAGAGTATTATTTGATATTTAATAGTTTTATAAAAACAAACTAAGTAATAGAATTGTTTCGATAAGCTTGTCAATGATATAACTCAAAAGAGCATTTTTTGAATGAGTAACGTGCGTTTCTCAATAATATCTGACTTTAATGTTCTAGAATAGGGTCCGGCGGGATTATCCAGATCCTGATGAGACAGGGATCAGGATTGGGACGGGAGTTCCGTCTCAGAATTCTCCTTTATCGGATGTATATAATTGATTCACACTACGGTATTTCTTTTGTTTCTGTCAAACTTATTCTAAACCCTTTACCTTGTTTCATCTCTTTTTTTATCTATATAAATATTATGTATGTATTTTTCATCTCAAATGAACATTTTCTTATCTATCTAACTGCTCAATCTACTGCACCTTCTAACTAATAGAACTTGTAAGATTGAAATATGCTCTTCGATGTAAGCTCTTTGTCGTCAAATCATATCATACATGAAGTTATGTAAAATGCTGTCGAACTAAACTGATGTGTTTGAAAATTGTTTTCAGTAAAATTATAAACAATCGGGATTAGACAAGATCGAGACGAAAAAACTTGATCTCACCGGACCCTAGCATACAGTGGGCATTAGTTATATTTTTACTGTTTTCAAGGTAAGCTTCAAAAGCAGGGCGGGGACGTCACGTTTCTCTAATTATGTCTAAAAGTCATAAATATTAGCTTAAAGATTAATTTGCATTCTTTATGTATATTAAGCCTATGTACTAGTCGAAGAGACGAACATTATTCAAAGGATAATCACGATTTATTTGTTGAAATATAGGAAATTGATTAATAGATGAAAAATTGATCTAAATTGTTCTATATAATCACTGAATTAAGAAATAAATCTTTAACTTACATTAATTGAACATTGAATATCGACTGGTAAAAGATTAGTTAAATGAAGTGCTGGATGAATATAAAGAGTAAAAGCTGTTGTACTAAGTTGATCCGTATTTTCTGCATAAGCATCAGATACTTCTTTAAAAACCTTTGAATAAAATATTATGATTCAATTTGAAATCAATTCTTTTAATAGTCTTACAACAAAATTTGCTTCATTTCCAGTTTTTAATTTTATTTTTCTTTCTACTGCATATTCGTCACGCCAATCAAATGAAAAAAAATCCGATACTTCTTCATTCCTAGTAAAATACTCATATTTTTGTTCTATTTTAAGAAGAAAATTTCATTACTCATCAACCGTAAGAAATACTTTTGAAGTTGAATGTGAATAAAGTAAATTAATTGGTACGTAACAATCTTTATTAACATCAATTCTAGCTACTGAAGTATGATTTTTCATATTATGTTGATCAATATTCAAAAGAAGCATTGGTAATGTTGTATTATTAAATATTCGAACAATTGAGCTAAGAATAATACGTCGACGTTCATTTTCGACTTCAGCATTACAAAGCATTTGAACAGGAAAATTAGAAATTGGTGATGGTCCTAATTCATATACACGTTTCCATGTTCGATTTATGCTAACAGTTTTAACGACATCTCCAATCTATAAATAGATTTTTTTTTATTTACACAAAAATAAACTACGTTATTTTTACTTTGACAGAAAGTTCTTGTTGTTTTGAACTTTGTTGTTCAATAACTGTAAGTTTTCCTTGAGTTTGCTTATCATTAACTTCATTTAATGGAATAGATTCATTTTCTTTAAGAGTGATTGATTCATTTGTAGATGAATCAGGAAACTTTTTAAAGAAAGTAATAAATTAAAGAAATAAATAATTTTATACATACGTTAAGACCAACTAAATTATTGATAGATAATTCTTGTCCTGTACCATTAAAAACAGATAATAATGGTTGATCATCATCAGTTGGTGGTAATCTTTTATTATAAACATCATTAAATAAAGCTGATAGACGTTGAACAAGATCAAGACCCGTTTTAGTTATTGTTAAATTAAGTAATTGATCGGCACGAATCAATATTATTTGTTTCGAACTTGATGATGGAACACCTTCTTTTCGTTGTTGTTCATCAATTACTGATGAATCAGCTTTTTGAGTGAATGGAAGACCCTTTTAATCAAATTAAATAAGTTATCTTATGAATTAAATACTCTATTTATTAGATAAAGTTATTATTAGAAAAAAAAAATTCCATCACCATCGATACTATCAACATACGTAATATATACTTTTTATTCGGAACTTATCATCTTCATATTGCTGAAATAATCAATAGATAAAATTTAAGTTTTTTAGTATATATATTAATCTCTTAAACTTTATTTTAATATAAAAAAGCACCTATGGGACGTTTTTCGAATCGCCCACAATGCGGAGATGACCTTATTATAAAGGCTCATTGTCAGCAAAAATCGATCGGTCACTAAGCCTAATAGGTGACCATCTAGGGAGATCCTGCTGTACTAATAAAAAATTCATTAGTTGTATGCTTACAGATACAATTGAGCATGTAATACCCCATGGTAAAAGTGTTCCTCCATCCGAAGTCACTGTTGGTTCAATGAATGGTTCCCAAGCAAGTACATGTTCGTTATATAATGCTATTTCAAAATTTACTGTTGATTGAAGACTCATCTACATGAATTAAAAGGTAAAATTAAAAGAGATAGAAAATACAAATTGAATTACATTTGATGACCAATTTTGAACATCAGCAATTAAACCTGATAAACTCATTGCTACAACAGCTTTTGTTACTGAACCTAAGCCAACTTCAAGTTTAAGTTGAAGTGTTTCTAATGTAAGTAATAACTAAAAGCATGGAATAATTTTTATTTTTCTTAAAATTTCTCGTTTTTTCTGCAATATTAATATCATACTTGTTGACGCATTGGTTTTTGAGTTTCGTCTTTTTCTTTCAATTTATTTTCTTCTTCTTTAATGGCTTTTTGTTGTGATGGAGTACCTCGAACAGTTTCTAATATATCAGTTTGTTCAACTTTTTCTTCGACATCTATTTAAAATGAAATGAAAAAATTAAAGTCAAGACAATAATTCATTTAATTGTACCTTTGGTAAACCAAAATTTTGCATCTTTAAAAGGTTTTGGATCAAATAAAGATGTAGAATTCACTTTTTCAATTTCTTCAGTTGTTTCTACCTGCAACTCAAAAAACAAAATCTAATAAATTAATTTAATATTCTTTCTAACCTGTAATGTTCCTAATGAATTCATAACACCAATAACAGTTCGAACAGCAGCTGGTGCAATACTGACCATAAAATCCGATATTCGTAAATCAATTTTTTGTTCTTCATTAGTCATAGTCATAAGAACATCTATTTCAGCTGGTTGTAAAATCTTCAGAATAAAATTTATTTATAAAATTAAATAAATTCTTTTATTAAACTTACACGATATTTGATTTTTGTCGCAGAATTATTTGAATTTTTTAATTCAGCAAAATTTGAACTGTAAATTGTTAAACCTCTTAGCCAACCATATAATTTTGTTTCATTATTGACTATTGATATACGCATTTCGAATGTTAACTAGAAAAATACTTCTCATATATATATGGTATGAGAATGACTAGATGATTCAATGCTAACATATCTATAACATGATATTGCTGTTTATTTTACCCTAATCTTCATCCCTCTAATAGATTCTAAACTCATCTTATACACGCTTTAAATGCTAAAAAGGAAACATGTTTCGAGCATAACATCAGTGTTATATCTCTATTTCAAATTAGTGGTGATAATATTCTATGGAACCATACATTCTAGTCAACTAGTTACTCAAACGACAAGAATAGATAGGGTTGTTTTGTAGTTCAAGAAAATGGTTCGATTTCTATTTTGTTGACAACACCAAATATAAAACTCACACAGATTCATTATAAAGTTTAACTTGGAATAATCTGAGAGGTTTAATAACAACTTACATCAAGTACAAGACAGTTTGAATTTGAATTGTGTTGATCTTCAAGTAAAATAACTTCAGGATGTTTTACTACAATTTCTAAGAAAGTTTCAACGTCTGCATCTGCATTAGGTGCAGTGGTTGGAGCTAGAAAGAAAATTCTTTTTATCGTATGAAAAATTTGTTTTTATATTAGAATTGTAATACGTTTTGGTGCTGGTACTGGTGTTTTTGTCGGAACAGTGGATGGTCTTGCATCAAGTTTGTTTCGATTTACATCATGTTCTAATTGATCAGTTATTGTTGGTGGTGGTGGTGGTTGAGGTTTGCTTTCAGTATTACCCGAAGGTAAACCAGAAATAAAAAAGTCTTGTAATTTCATTAAATAATCCAAACTTATACAAATATAAAGACTTTCCAGCTGTGCAGTTACTAATAATGAAAAAAAAACAATGAAAAAGTTTCTTTTCTATTCAAATTTTATTGATTTACATTTTCGACGTGCTGCTGAATCTGTGGTTTTTGGTGTAAATTCAAATACTGCAACAAGCATTTGAGCATCGGGAGCAACTGTAAAATGTCTATCCATCATACGTGTCACACTTTCACGTTTATTTGTTGCACGTAAATCATCAAGTAAGAAATTTTTAACAAGTGCTGTTGCTTTATAACTTCCATCAGATCGTTGACGAAATATAGCGTCAAGCATATCAATTTCTACACTGGCTAATTTTAATTTATCATTACGTGGTTCACGACGAGTACTCTAAAAATATATATTAGTAAATTTAATTCGAAAGATATATATCGAAAAAAGAATGTATACTGAGTTTTAAAAGAAGATTATATCAGAAATAACCATAGTATGTTACAGTGTTATAGTATAGAGCGGACGGATTAGAAGTTCTTGTTTATAGTTTACTTTAATTGCTTCCGTGTTTTCATGCTGATTATTGATGATGATATATTTAAAAAGTAAACAAGGAGAAAGGGTCATTATTCACCTGATTATTTACATTTTGTTTGATAATGACAATAAAAAAAAGAATTTTATCAATTATAATTACTCGATCAAATGCGACTCTACAAATATATTTGAGTAATAACAGGTCAAATTAATAAAGAGCATCTTATTAAAACCTAACAAAAAATAATGAAAATCTATATCTCGATCTAGAATCTTCGTTCTTCTGCTGTAAATATAAACAAAGATTTCTTTACTGTCGTTCATCAAAACAGAAGCAAGACTTGAGAAGAATATCTATCGACTATTATTCATAGTAGTAGAAGTACAGATTAATGAGATTATTTTAGATTCATTTTAGTATTTGTACTGGGACACCAAATAGAACTGAGATTGTATCTCAATCCAAATATACTTTCTCTAGTCAAAATGATCTTAGAAGGAAAAGTTAGGTAAAAACAGCGTTCCAATTGCTTATATTATTATCGGATCGAAACTGTTTATATAAAGAGAGAGCATGCATTCAAAAAAGATTTTTGGTAGTTCCAAAAGCAGCATTAGATTTTTAACTATTAAAAGATATTTTGTAAAGTATGTTAACTACATAGAGAAAATTCTACAAAAGAATTATTTAAATAAAACTCACCATATCGGAATCACCAAGATAAAGTGTTAATGCTAATGTTTTTATTGTTGCACGAAGTTTAAGTGTTGGTACTACTTCATTACTAACTAATTCTAAAAATCAGACAAGTAATCATTCATTTTTTATCAGATAAAACCATTTATTTCACAAACCTGTTCGTCGCTTAATAACAGCTTTTTTAAGTTCATCTTCTTCTTCTCGTTGCTTGTCTGTTATATAGTTATATTGTTCATTTTGAAAGCTATCTGGTATTTGATCACGAATATTTTCTGAAAAATTTTCCATTAAAACTTTCATAACACATGAATAGTCATCTTTAGCTAACCGAAACTATTTAAATAAAAACAATAAAAGAAAAAGTTCATCTGTTTAAAACTTACATGAACTGAGTCCCATAAAACTTTAATTGAAACTCCTGGTTGATTTTTAACTTTTTCTGGATAAAGTAAACGATTTATTTCTGTATTTAATTCTGCACATTCAAGTAAAACAGCTTCACCAAGGATATTATTATCTTTATCAAGTTTAACACGGCTAGCAAGAATATTCTCTAATCGAATATTTTGCCTTTCAGTAAGAAATTTGATTTCATCATCACGAAAATCTGTTTTTAATGTTAATTTACCCAAATCAAGAAACATTGCTTCATCAGAATAAGAATTTGTTGGAATAATTATATTTGGAGCATTAAATGTTACATCGAGATGTACTTTAAATGCTTGTTCTTGTAATTTTTGTACTTGTTCATAGGCAGCATCAGCTTGTGTTGATGCTATATCAAGCGCTGCTTTAGTTATATTTAATGTATCAAGAAACCCCTTTACAAAAATGAAAAAAATAGGAAATATACGAAGATGTTGTTTCAGAAAATTACTCACTAAAAGTGCATCGATATGTTTGAATAGAAAGACAATATTTGCTTTAGCAAATTCAACTTTCACATCACAGTCATAAACATCAAGAGGTTTTTCATATCCCACTGGATGATTGAATAAGGATAAATCAACACGAAGTAAATCTTTATCATCACCTTGTTGAGAAATAATCTTGAGAAATAAGAGAAAAAACATATTTTAAAATTACAAAGTATCATTTTTGTCATACTTTTCGATATCGTGCGTCTTTATATGGATCAAAGATACGTAAATCTGATAGAATTAAATTAACTAATGTCTTTTCTGATGATTGTGATACGTCAGCAGTGATACCTGAATTAAAGTAAAAAGTTTAAGTTAGATTTTAAAAAAATATGCTTTTTTTAAACCTTCAACTTGAATGTCAAATAATCGTGCTTGTTTTGATGCAAGAATTATTTTAAATTCTTCCAGAGATGCTTTTATTTTGAGTGAAGGTGTTGCTGGAGTATCTAAATAGAATATCAATTTTCTCTCAAAAAATTTGTCTACAATGATTAAAAAGTCAATAAATAAAAGGAGTTTAGGTTCGTTAACTCGAAAAAATAGGTACTGAATCAATTCGCCGTCAGACAATTCGCTGCAAACATATTGTACACTAAGCTGAATAGAATAAGTAAAATACGGTATTTATAGTAATTGCATTACGTATGCTAGACGAAAAACCAATATTTTCATAGCATTTTCAAGAAGTAGAAAGATCTGATTAGTTTGAAAACTAAATATTTGATAATTCAAAATAGTAACTAGAGTTAAAGTGAAAAACAGAAATTAAAAAAAAGTAGCTTTTTGAAAACTCGAGCAGATAATAAATGACAGGTGAACGATTATCATAAAGTTGATCCGATCGAATATTTATTTTAAATGGCTACCAATGTTGTTTTGTAAAATACAACCAGAATAAAAAAAAGTTATTGATCTAACACAGACAGGATTTTACTGAGTCTGAAATTTTTAAGAAGTTATACATTATTGTCAATCAAGTAGAGCAACATGGGATTAATAGTTTCTAATAAAAATCTTTTCTGAAGTTGTTTGCATTTAGTAAAATAGTTATTCAAATATTATTTTTCTTAGAAGACAAACATATGAAGATTTTTAACGTAAAACTACAAATAATTCGCGACAACAACCACTATTAGAAAATATCGATATTGTGAAGATTTTCAAAAATCTTAGAAATAGATAAATAATTCGATTCATTCTTGCTCTCTATTAGTCAATTTTTTTGTTAATTTTCTATCTCTTTGTAGTTTTAAATTTTTCGAATCAATAAACTTTATATATATGAAAAAATGCTGTAAATCTTTTTCTCTATATTGAATAAAATAATATTTTCTTGTTTCATCACTTTTATCTTAATAATAAAAATCTTACCATTTTTCTTAACAGGCTTTTCTGTTTTTTCATTATTTTCAATAGCTTTTACTTCTTCCTTTGGTGGCTCTTTTATTTGATTGTCTGTTGTATCCTTCGGTAATTTTTTCATTAATGAATCTTGAAATTTGAATATGGATAGAAGTGCTTCTAATTGTAATGTGACAACAAGTTTACTAAAACGAACATTCGCTTCATTTTCAACTCCATTATACGGTGAAGATAAAAATAACGGATTTTCTTGTGAAGTATGTAGAAAGTTTACACTGACTAATTTCTGTTTTTCCGTTGTATTTTGTTTATCTAATTGAGCTGATAATAAACGTAATGGTTGATTATCTTTTCCAACAAATTGTTGATGATAAACAATAAAATCAGCTAATGATGCATTAAATTCCATATCAAATGTTTTTATTTTTGTATTAGCAGTTATAGATTCAAGTGTTAAACGAAGAAATGGTTCATCATTATCCTTATCATTAATTTCATTTGCAGCTTTATCAATAAGCAAATCAATCTTTACAGAAAAGAAAAAAAGATTATTGAAATAATTAAATAACATCGATCTTCTTTTACTTTATCAAGTGTAAACGTTGCTTCTAATTGTGTTAATTGTCCTTCACATTCCTTTTTCTTCTCTTCTGTATCTTTCTTTTCTGGTTGTTCTTCAGCTTCAACTTTTTCTTTGGTTTTTTTTACGGGTGTCATTCCTTCAACTGCCTCTAATGTTTCTTCCGTATTATTAACTAACGGTTGTACAGGTACGGACTAAAATTTATAAAATATTGATTTCTAAACTAAAATTTATATTGAACAAACTTCGACATCAACTGTTGCTTGTACAATTGCGCCAGTTTTCGATTCAGGAAATGGAATTGATTGAATATGCTGCATTATTTGAAATAAACGTGTATCTGATAAACGTAAATCCACGCTAGGAATATTACCAGCAACTTTCCAACTAATAATAACAAAAGAATATTAATTAGAAATTTTATCTAGCAAAAAAGAAGACTTACGCAGGTAATACAGCATCATCATTATAAATACATTTACCAACATCTAATTCGAGTTCCATTGGTTTAATTAAATGTATACGTGTATTTTTTTCTTTACGAGCATTTTCCCAACTTTCATCTAAATTTTATTTTAAATATATATATAGTCAAGTTAATTTCTTCTCTAACATTACAATAGTTCTTAGAAACTAGTTTTTCATATAATAAGACTAATAATGAAGACTGTATCATTGAAATTATGGTTCTCTTCTGATCTAACTAAAATATATTATGTGCTATTACTAAATAAACTCAATATAGTTTTTTTAGAGAAATAAGTCAATGAGATTGAATATAGGTATTGCAACAACGTCTCTTTTTTTTCGAGAACCTTAAAACTTAAGACAGTTTAATCTTAAAAATAACTGAGATATTTCGAGTTTTCTTGTAAATAAAATTTTTAAAGAATGTTTTCATACTACAGAAGAGAATTAGTTTCATTGAATAAGTTAGAAATAAAGATATTCGAAATACTATTTTCTATAGTATTTTTCATACTTTGATTTGCATAAATTAATTGAATATCTTCAAGTTTCAATTTAAATTGTGTATATGATTTTTCTCGAGCGTCTTCAATATCCTATAATAGATCAAAAAAGATAAGCATTTCAGGCAAATATTTTAATACATACTTTTGCTTCTTTAGCTGAAACAAACTCTTCTCCACTATCATTTAATGTTGTTCCTCGTTTTAATGTTAAATGACCTAAATCCATACATAGTGTTGCAACATTACTAAAACAGATACAATTGATTCATAGAAAGAAAGAAAAATGAAATTTTTTTCTTTTACTCTTGATAAACTCCATTTGCTGGTAAAAGAAAATAAGATGATTGAATATCAATATCAATATCTAAAACTTTGATTTTTTCGATATTATGTTTCATTAATATAAATGAACGAGATTTAACATCTGTATATGTTGAATAAGCAGCTTGTTTAACACTAAAATGAATTGAATTTAATCTTTTTCTTTTTCTCAATTATAATTTACCCTTGAAGGTTACGTTGTGTATCTTGTTCAAAACATTGAGCTAGTTTATTGATTGTTGGCTAAATAAAATAAATAAATATATATGTATAAATATGACATTGAAATTTTACCGCATTGTATTTAATTTCAAGAGATTGTGAAATAATTTTAACACGATAATCAGCTGTTTTATCTAATGGATTTGTTTCAAATTCAATTTGTAACAATTTTTGTTGATTAGATGATGAAATCAAGCGATTAACCGGTTGAACAAGTACCGGGCGATTTTCATTCGATAATTGCAATTGTTGTGAACCTGCAGCAGTACCAACAACTTGAAATGAACCCAAATCAACAAAGAGACTAAATAAAATAGATTAATTTTAATTTAAATAAATCTATTATAACATACGCAATAGCTTCTGTTGCTGGTCGACGTCGAAATATTAAACCAGTATCTGGTATAGTAGCTCGAGCAATTACTTTAAATCTAAAATAAATAAAATATTGAGATACTATATTTGAAATAAAATTATTTACATACTTTGAATCATTTTCATTTATTTTCGCCCAAACATTAACATCGAGCATTTTTAGATGAATTTTTAAATCAATATCAATATACTAAAAGTAAACTATTTATTAATTCCATATAAACTATAGAAAATTTACTGTTTCTGGATAAGTTGATGTTGAAGTATCTTCTCCTTCATAACCGATAGCATCATATAATTTTTTCTTTTCTTCTGGTGACATGACTTTTTCTAAATCAAGCTCTAAAAAATAGATAGAAATCGAAAGGGATTATATTAGTTTAATGAAACATATATATGAAGATAAAAAGAAAACCTGGATTATCTTGTGGTTGATTTCCACCCCACCAACTTGTTACACCTCCCCACCAACCTTTTGGTTCTTGTTCTTTCTTTTTTTTTGCTTCAATTTCTGCTTTTCGACGAATATATGTTAGATTAAAAACATCAAGTTTTTTTTCTAATGCCTATTTTTAAATTATATAAAAATATCATCATAAATGAATAATTTGATTTTCATACTTCTGCTCGTTGTTTCTGTTCATTTGATATTTTTCCTGTTAATTCTTGAAAATGAAGTGTACGATATTCTCTAACACGATCTAAATGTGCTTTGATATTTTCCCATTTATAACATTCGAATCTTGGTCGAATTTCTTCATTAACAATTGCTTCATATGCAAATTTCCAACTAAACCAAAAAAACATGAATTTAATTTCAGTAAGAAAATCTAATACTTTTTTCGACTCTTCTTATTTTGTGCATCATCCTTTATTTGATATTTTATATATTTTGATTTAACAGTAAGATAATCTTGAAATTCAAGTAGATCAAGTAAATCTAAATACTAAAAATATAAAAGAAAATAACTTATTGTTTTTTGTTTAAATTTAAACTTACTTGATCACGATTAATATTTAAACTAATTTCATCTAGATCAACTTTAATATCAAACATTGGTCGTTGAAATTGATCTTCACGTGGTTTCATTACTAATACAACTCTTGCTGTGATATTCATTGGTCGAAGAACTAGTTATTAATTATTTAAGAAATACTTAGGAAAATTACAAAAATTTAATAATTTACTATATGCTATATCCAGTGGTGCACGTTGATTATCAATTGCAATTCTTTCTTTTAAATTTTTCTATAATAGGTAAACAGTTAAGCATATCTTCAGAAAATAAGAGAATGATATTTAACATACAATAACTGCATCTCTCGATAATGTCGATCGTGATATAGCATCGGTATTCCAATAAATTGAAAAAGCACTTAATTCACCAAGCTAAAAATAAACATTTCTTATTGGAGTATTCTTATTTTATTAAAATTAGTACTATCGAAAAGTTACAACGTTCACTCTCATTACTATCTTCATTAAACATGAACCAGCAATCATTCATAATAAATTTCTTACTTTATGAATCAATGGTGTATCTTCTTTCAATATTGTTTGTTGCCAATCTGGAGTTGTTGTCTAAATGAAAAGTATAAAAACTTTAAATTAAATTAAATTCATATGGTATTTATACATGTAATTTAATATAATTAAGCGTAATTCCCAAAGCAAATGGATGATCGGGTTTTGTTGATCTATCTTCATAGACAATATGAATATTCTGAATAGATAATTCCAGATTTCGAAGAATTTGTAATTGCATACGTTCCATAAATGTATCATTATTTTTGTCAGCAGCTTTGTCATTCTCTTCAAGTAAAAAAGATAAGAAAAAATAAATTGTTTTTGGATTTTATACTTTCATCTTCTTTTTGTTTTCGAAGTTCTTCTACTTTATGAACTTCTTTCATTTTTGCTTCATGTTGTTCTTTTTCATCACGTTTAGCATCATATGCAACTTCTATTATTCAAAAGAAAAATAAACAATTTTTTAATAAATACAATACACGAACCAGTTTTAGGTACAACTAATAAAAAAAGTCCATCGATTGTTGCTTTTGTTGGATGTGTATATAAATTTTTCCATGGAACTTGTAAAATTAATTTTTCTATAAAAATATAAAAGTTTTAATTTAATTTAAAAAAACAACAATGAATTTTTTATATAACATACGAAGATAACCAACTGATATAGTCACCGGAAGATTTAAATCAGCCTTTGATTAAAAAAAAACGAAATTATTTATTATGACTTTTTTATTTAACATACGAGTGCATTTGGTTTTAGATACAGATTTTCCAAAACAACATTACCTAAGAATAATAAATATTCGAAAAAAAATATAAGAAGAATTTTAATGCTTATACTCACCACTCCATAAATCAATTTTAAGTTTTTTTGTATCTAAATTTTCAATGTAATCACCCAAATATTTATCCAATAAATAGACAACTAAATTTTCGAACACCATTTTGATACCGTTTTAATAAAACGGTTAAAATATTTATGAAAGACTATACGGTATAGATAACAAAATATCTATCTTAAATAAATTGTGGTATACGTTATTTTTTACAGAATAAATGCAAATGTTCGTTTTCTTTTTTGTTTTAAGATAGTTACTTCACATAAAAAAAGATAACCATCGGATGATTCATACTCAAACTATGTTATCTTTTACTGCTTCGCATATTTTCACCAATAGGATAAAAATATTTCGTAGAAGAGACTTGTAATAAATGTGTTGATTGGAATGAGATATTTAAAAGGCTAAATGTACAATAAATCATAATTATTAATGTATACAGCGCATTTATGCACTTTTACGAAATACCAAGGTTTGCTAAATAACAGAACAGAACAAATTCGAAAATAAACTTGAATCATGGTCATTCGAGTTTCTTACCTTGAAAATGTGTTGTGTTATAAATGCGGTTTTTTGATAAAAACATTATAATCATAGGGATTAACATTTAAGATTATACAGTATCGACATTGAAATATCGAATCAATTTTTTGGCTACTTTATAAATAATGAAATTGAAACTGATTAAATAGTTTTATCTTTTTCAAATAATAGACGTCTAATGCCTCGAGCCTTTCGCTTTATTATCTCTTCGCAATACAATTTTATATGTCTAGATCATATAATAAAAAATTGTCTTGAATATATTATATATTCAAGGATCGAGTCAAACACAGAACATTATGAGTAAAAATGAGTTTAGGGATGACAACCTTATATCGATACTATGTTTTTGACACACAAGTTTTAATTGAATTATATCATTTCTGTTTTAACTATGTAATCTTTACTTTGTTGTTGTATAATTGTGTTCGTCACGCAATCTATCAGTCTTAAATATCTAATCAATTATTCACTTATATACTATTATATCATTACAAAACCAGATGAGATAAGAGAATAATCTAACACGTTCAAGTTTGTCTTATCTTCAATTCTACAAACAATTATAAATATTTGTGAATCTTATATAACATTTACAGTATCTATAAAAAAAATCTAACATATAGCATACATAGGAAAATACATATTCAATGCAATTTTATTTCTTGTAAATTAATAAATCATTCATAGAGATAACATTCTATTTTCATTAACATAAATTATCGTTGTTTATTATGGAAAAAACTCCACATTACAATCATGAAATAATGAAATCGATTTTTTTTGTCGAAAATCCATTCATTTCTTACTCAAAAAGAATATGAAAAAAAAAGAAACACTGTACAGAAAATTAAAGAAAAAACTCATATTTTTCGTGTTTGAAATTTCACGAGAGCATTTCTGTATTAAAACCAACTGGTCTCACTTTTATTTCGCATGATTTTAATGAATATTTTGCACCTAACCAATTATTCCAAAAAACACCTGTTGCAGTTGTATCATTTCCACGTAAATAAAGTCCATTTAAATTTACTAATGTACATCCTGCATGCCACCAACCACTATGATAATTTTCTGCACAATGACCTGCTGATTGATCATAATCTTGATCACGTGTTGAAAAACGCATACCACGATTATATGCTAATGAATCGCCACCAGTTGATGTTTGTACATAACGACCTAAATTTAATGTATATTTTGTTTGTTCATTTGTTATAAAAAACCATTCATAATCAGCAAAACGTGTTTGATTATTAAAATCTTCTAAATCAATATGAAGACGATATTCATCTTGATTTGTTAATGTATGAATTTTTTCATTTCCAAGCCAAAAATCACGTGTTAAATCACCAAAACCACGTCTATATGATGACCATGAAACAAAAAAATTTGATTGTTGACTATAATCACCACGACGTTGAAGAACTGTCCATCCTCCACCATCTCTTTCCATATCGCATAATACACGAAATGGTTTAGGACTTGTACGAGGCCTTTTAAATAAGAAAAACAAACAAATTTCTTTTATAAAAAAAATTCTTTCGTCTATTTCTTACCATATTTCATAAATTCCACTTGTACGTTTTCCAGCTAAATAAACTTCGCTACAATCAACAAATGCATAGTCACGGGCAGCCATTGCTCGTGCACATGCACTGCTTGCTGTATCATTATCTGCACTACCCATTGGTGGTGTTGAACCTGTATTAAGACCACCATTTGAAGTAGAACTTGGTAAGAAACCAATTGGTAAAGTAGATGACACTATGCTTTGATCGATTGATGACGTAGACGAACTTGTAGAAGTAGTTGTAGTACTTTCTAACGATGAAAAAAAAGAAGATTTTTTATCTATATATGAAATTTATACCTGTAGGACCAATTGTTGTAGTTGTCGAAGTAGTAGTAGTAGTAGTGGGAGGAGGTGTTTCGCATTGATCTTCACATAATAAACCCGTAGCAGTACATGTACATACTACAAAAATTGTATTATATACATTGATATTATTGAAAATTAATTTATTTTTACCTTTACAAGTATTAATAAGTGAACGAAATTTACTATTAATAGGAATTTCAACTATAATGTATTCAAATAAATCAATTCAAAATAAATCATAACAGAAAAATAACTTACGTTGTCCATCATCTGTTTTACACATTGGTTCATCATTTAATTTTCCATTTGTAATTAAACCACCATCTAAATTTTATTCGTTAGAATTATTTCTTGAATTATTATATACACATACTTGTTCTATTAGGATTATATGGGATTTGCGCAGGTATTGTACTGACATGTAAGACAGTTAAATAAAGAACGAGTAAGATTGAAAACATATTCATATTTCTTAAGAATATAATTCGAGAAAAAGATAGAAAAGAATATATGTATTCTGCGTATATATATATAGTTAGAGATAAATCATATCTTAGATGAGAAGGACATTTTCAGTTAAGCAGATCGTCGTAAAAGAAGACGTGGCATAAAAAGAGGCTGCTGATCTACAACATATATCTCCACCACACGTGCTACACTCTAAAGGTCAAGTATAATCTGTATTAGTGTACAAACGATTTGGTCTAACGGCAAAATACTAATTTCCGTAATGCAAAAAGATATATCCTGATAATGCCGAACAAATGTCAGTTATGTATCTGTCAATAGATTATTACAAAACAAGAAAACACTTGGTGTTCTTATCCAGGCATCGAAAAAGTATTATATATTTAGAATAGTGATAGACAATCATGTTTTTTACGTCGATTAATAGAGTACTGGATAATTATCAATATAAAATTGTTCTTTTTTTATTTTTTAATATATAAGAAAAGTTATCTATGATAAATAAAAATAGTAAAATAAAAAAAATTATGCATCATCAGCAATTTGAATAACTGCTTTTCCGAAATTTTTTCCTTGAAAAATTCCAACAATTGCTTCTGGTGCTTTTTCTAAACCTTTAGTTACATCTTCTTTTATTTTAATTTCACCACTAGCAATCCATTTTGGAACTTTTGTATAAAAATCTTTCATAAAATTTGCATCTTTGTATTTATCTAATATAATAAAACCTTGAAGTTTAAGTCGTTTAGCAACAATTTGCATAAGATTTCGAATGCCATGAGCATCACGTTCGTTATATTGTGATATCATTCCACATTCAACAAATCGTGCTTCATTAGCAGCAGCATCAAGAGCTGCTTCTAATTGATCACCACCAACATTATCAAAATAGATATTTAATGGGTCAAATTTAGCAAGTTCATCTTTAGCTGTAGCTGTTTTATAATTAAATGCATGATCAAAATTAAGTTCTTTTTGAAGCCATTGTACTTTATCATCTGAACCAGCTGATCCAATGACTTTCAAACCTTCACGTTTAGCTAAAAGAAAAAAAAAGAATTGAATTTATTATTATTATTTAATTTCTATTTACCAAATTGACCAACAATTTGACCGACAGCACCGGATGCTCCTGTAATAAAAATTGTTTCACCTTTCTTTGGTTCTCCGATATCATAAAAACCATGAAAAGCTGTTTGTCCAGGCATACCAGCTGCACCAACCCATGCTGTTAATGGTATACCAAGTTTAAGTTCTTCTTCACTTAAAATTTTAATAGTATCAGTTGCTTCTTTTGGATGAACTGTATATTCTTCATAAGAACCCATACCATAAACATATTGACCAATTTTAAATCGTGAATTGTCAGATTTAACAACTTTTCCAACGAAAAAATTTACTAATGGTTCGTTAAGTTGAAATCCAGGTGCATAACTTTTCACTGATGGATCTCTCATACGACCACGCATGTATGGATCAATAGATATTACAAGATTTTTTGTGACAATACCACCTTTTGCTTCAACTGTATCGAGGTCAATTGTTCGATCATCAACATATTTAAGATGTTTACCAACTTCTGGATAACCAGTTGGAACTTCTGCAAAGATTACTGCACTGTTTCGAATTGGAGCCATTGTTTTACTAAAGAAATATATTTACTACTGAATGTATGTGTTAGAATACGTTGTTTTCTTATATAGAATAAAGAATATACATGATCATAATGATCATGCAAAAGAGAACGAAAGAAAAGAACGTTTTTTTCTGCGTACGTCACACATAACGTGGATGATGGAGAGAGAAAAAATGTATAATCTATTGGTTGTGTAATAGTTTAAAGCTAACAAATGTTCTTCGCTTTCACCTGATAGCGACAAAGTACGTGCTCCTTTTTTTTACTATATCGAGACATGAAAAATAAAATACCTTGATATTATGTATTGAAGAGAAAAATACTCAACGTCGTGTCGTTATTTCATTTGACGATAAAATGGAGAAATACATACTATAAACAGACTTCGTTTTACTGATAAAATATATCTATATAAACATTTTATTATTTTCTCAGCTGAAAATATTCATTTTTATAAGGTACAAATGATTGAAATAGAATGAATAATAAAAAATCAGAATATTTATCAACCTACGCATTGAATAGTTCTCGCAAAGGTAAAATCAGATGTAGAAATAATACAGTAATGAAACTATTAAAATAATTACCAAAATTGAGACTATGATCAATACATTTTCATTTACTTGACAGATTATATATATATAAAAATATCGACAGAATCGATTAAAAAAATATTTAATAGCAATTTCTATTTTCTTTGCATCAAATCGAAATAAATATTTTCATTTCTATTAAAAATAAAGAATAAGAACAAGCAAAATTAATATTCTAGATTAGCAAAGACTACAGCAAATTCTATAAATAATTATTTTTATCTGAGATAAATCATTAAATTAAATTTCTATCTTATCATCCAAAATATAATAAGAATTAATAATAGAAAAAAATTTGATATATTTTTCATGTGTGCAAAAGAATGATGGATACTTGTATCTTCTTCAGTATAGAAACTTTCATGTAATTCAGGTTGAAAATTCGCTAAAATTTTTCGTGAATATAATTTTTGAGTATGTCGAAAATTAGATGGTATCGAATTTTGAGTAAATATTTCTAATTGATATGCTGATATTGGTATCTTTCGAGCTAATATTATCCAAGTAACATCTTCTGTACATGGTGGAATAGTTAATGAACCATTATAAAGATAAAAACGAGGTGATGAATCAGTTGGAAAAAGACGAGATATATCGAGTTGATGTTCAATAGATATCGAAGTGTCGACAGTTTGATTTAAGATCGATAATAAATTATCAATATATGGATTATCATGTTGTCGTAACTCGAAAAGTATACTAACTATAGCTAAAGCATTTGAAAAACGTCCTCGATGTATAAATTGTACTTCCAATGGATATTTAAATCCATTAAATGTATGTTCAGAACCTTGATAAATATTGTAACCCCAATGTAATTCAAACTGAACTAAATAAAAAATTTCTGGTAAACTAACACCACTTATTGAGAAATTAGCTAATGTTGGTGGATAGGCAATGATTGTTTTTCCATTATGTGTAAAATTCCATTGATGTAATGATGAATTTGTCGTATAGCCATTAAAAGAAAGTGGATGAAGATGTGGATCGTATATAAGATTTGTTATTCGAATATCTATAGGAGATTGAAATTCACCTTCACATGTATCAAATAGATGCGGCCATGTATCTGGTCCATGCCGTTGATAATCCCACTGTTGTGTTGATGGATGTATATGTTGAAAAATAGAATAATTCAATAATGAAAATATAAACAAAAGTTGCCATATAAATGTTCGAAACATAGTTTTTTGATGGTTAATGAAAACATATTTTGACAATAGTGAAAGAGATAACGATTATCAGTCGATTTATTGATCTAACACGATTTAGAAATTAAATACATGTTATTTTCACCTAGAACATATTTAAACGGTATTATTATTATTGAATGGCATTTGAATTTACCTATGAAATAGTATCGTCTATTTCGTGATTTTATCTGATCTTTTGTAAAAACAATACAACCAAAAAAAAACAATTTCATTATATAATAAATATATACGAAACTCAGATAAAATTAATTTAGGATAGCATATTAATATCAGCATGTTCTATTTTTATTTGTAGAAGATAACATAAACAGATTATTGTCTGTATTAATTCAACGATTTATGATTATTTGAACATTTATTAGATAATAGTAATTGAAAAAGTCAATCGAAAATGAAAATTACTCTATAGATCTCTTAGAAGAACAGTATTAGGTCAGTAGAAAATATCATGAAGTAAATTCATGAATTTATTAGTAAAGAAAAAAATTGGAATTGAATTATTGTATTAATAATGCGCTTTTAGCTTTAGTCGGTCTACCTCGTTTTCTTTTTTCCCCTATTTTTAAACAGATAGCCATTATTACAATGTGTTTACATATATAATTCTTCAGAAAATATGGGCAATTGCATGTCGAGGGTGTGGGTAGAAAAGAAAAAATAGAATAATCACCCACATCCGAAATATTAGACAATAACGTTTCTTGTTCGTAGAATATGTATGTTAACAGAAGTAGGTTACAAGAACAAAGCACATATGTAGAATACCGAAAGACGTCGACGATATAGAAAAAGTAGAACAAAAATGATTCATTCTACTGACTTTTCTATATAATCGATTGTTAAAAAATTGGATTTACTGATCATTTCATTTATTATACTGATCAAAAAATTAATTCCCCTATAAATATTTATAAATTATTAAAAGGAAGTTTCGGTCGAAAATTGTATTTTTTAGAAAACTAAAGTATCTATAGTTTAAGAGCATGTGTAAAATGAAGTTAGAAAACAATGCGATATATATCTCTGTCTGATTTTCAGATTGCTAACAGCTACAAATTTGTAAATAGCTCTATAAAATTCATTTACTTTAGTATAATTATTAGGATCCTCTATAAAATGATCTAATTGATTACTGATGATAGTAGAAAAGAAAGAGAATATATTCGATAATTTAACGCCATCTTTTCTTTGACTCTTTCATTTGATTTTTTATATGTAACCAATTGAAAATATCTTTTCCCTTTCATATATGAATCGATTAATAAATCTAACAAAATTCTCAAGTTTTCATTTCTCAATGTTTACTAATCGATGTCTATTTATTCATCGTTTATCATCTTCAATTATTGTCTGGCGTTATAATCAAACAAATTTAAAAACTCAAAATGTTACATCCCATTCAAAAGAACTTTATAATTGGAATATAGCTATGACAGAATCAAATAAACATAAAACACCTAAAAATACACTTATATTATTTGATAAATTAATAAATCAATATCCAAATATTACACCTAATTTCATAACCTATCTTCTTGCATTAAGTGCTTGTATACGTTTAGGAAATTTACATGAAGGAAAACGTATTCACGAATATATTCGACAAAAATGGTCGACAACAATTGATACAAACGAACAGATTAAAATTCATACTTGTCTTATACAACTCTATACTACATGTGGTGATTTAAAAACTGGTAAATACTTTTTTTTTCTCTTCATTTAAAACAAATATGATTTATTTTAGCTGAAGAAATTTTCTTCAATGAACAACTTAATCAATATGCTTTTCCTGTAAATACTTTAATGAAAGGTTATATAGTAAATAATCAAGCTAAACAAGCTATTCAACTTGCTGAATATTTACCAAAACATGAACGAAATATTATTACATATTTATTATGGACTAATGCTATAGCACAATTAGGTGATATTACAATGGCTAATACAATTCATTTAGAATTAAAAACTTTACCATTATCAACTCAAGCATTTTTTGCTAATGATCAACGATTAATGAATGCATTAATTAATGTATAGTATTTATGAAATATATTTCCTATTCATATGCTTTTTTGTTTATTATATAGATGGATGGAAAGTGTGGAAATATAACTCGAATGGAAGAAACATTTAAAAATTTTAAACAAGCAGATATAATTACATATACAACTCTTGCTAAAGCGTATATTGTTAATGTATAATTAATTCGTTTTGTTTTTGTTATTGTTTAAAATTTTGTATTATATTTAGAATTTACCAATTAAAGCTCTTGCTATATATGATCATTTGAAACAAACAAATCAAATTGGTTGTGATGAAGTTATGTATTTAGTTGCATCGAATGCAGCTGGTAAATTAGGTTTATTATCACGTGCTCGTTCAATACATAATGATATTATTTCAAGTGGTATAAATTATGAAACAAATGAAAAAATTCTCAATACATTGTAGGTATGTGTTATTGTTTTATACAAATGTTTATTTCAAATAGATTTTGTTTATTTATTTGTTAGAATGGATACATATGGAAAATGTGGAGATTTAAATTCTGCTAGAGAAATTTTTAATAAATTAAAAATTCAAAGTAAACCAAGTATTTCATCAATGAGTATGTTAAATAATCGATTTTTTCTACAATAAAAAAATATATTATTTTTTTTGTTTAGTTAATATATATGGAATAAATTCTCAAGCATTAGAAGCTGTTGCTTTATATTATAACACAAAAGATAAACTAACAGGAAATATTCAATCAATATTAATTAGTGTTTTAACTGCTTGTGCTCATGGTGGTTTAGTAGAAGAAGCTCAAAAAATATTTGATGATATTCCAAATGAAAAACGATCAATTAAAATATGGAATGCACTAGTAAGTAGAATGATTTAAGTTGTCTTATCATATAATTATTATGATGAAGGGAAAAAGAGAAAACCTTGGATTGTATATCCTAAAAATCGAGTAAATTTATTTTATATTATGATCAGCACCAGCACGAGCGGGGAGAAGGTGTACCCCCCCCCCCCAAATAATTGTAAATTTTTGTTTGTTTTTCAACGACGGGAGCTGATTTGGAAAAAATTTTGTTTTTTTTCTAGCAAATTTTTCTCTAAATACCCTTTTACACTCTTTCAAAACCCACTACAGCCCCCCTCCCAATCTTAGACCCTTCGCGCGGGTGCTGATTGTGATCATGATAGATTCTTATTGATGGATTGAACGCCAGTAAGATCAAGATTTATTTTGCCTCTTGCTAATGATTATGTGTATTATGTTTTTCAAAGGTCGAAAATTCAGTAAAATAATTCTGGTTCATAAAAAACAGCATGAGATTTTTAGAATTTGCATGTATACTATGCGATATAAAATTATTCGAATAGAATCATAGTAAATCGACTGATGTTGAGATTTATATGAATCTCTAATCATTCTCTTTTCCCAAATATCCTACATCCATTAACATTTTAAAAGAGCAGAACTTTGACAGAAATTTTTTAAAATAATTTTTAATCATAGGTTGATGTTTATGGTCGTGCTGGTCAATTATCTGAAGCTCATTCATTAATTGATTTATTTGAAAAAACTCATCCTCGTGCACCGGTTTTATATATTTCTTTATTAGCTGCTTGTCGTACACATAAAAATGCTAAATTAGCACTTGAAATTCATGATGAATTAATGTCATCAAATACATTATTAACTGATGATCAACGTTCAGCTATTGTTGTATTAACAGCCAATGTTCATTCATCTATTGGTGATCATAATCGTTCATTATCTCTCCGACAAACTTTATATCGTGATAAAATACCTAAATATGCAGGCGTAACATGGACAGAAATAAATGGAATAATGTATGAATTTTATGCTCAAGATATTCGACATCCTCGATCAAAAGAAATTTATGAACAATTAGAAATATTACATGAACGATTAAAAAAATTAGGTTATCAACCTGATGAAAGTGTTTTAACGAAAGAAGAACGAAATATTGAATGGAGTATACATGGACATTCAGAAAGATTAGCAATTGCATGGAATTTAATATCAACATCACCTGGTACAACAATACAATTAACAAAAAATTTACGAATGTGTATTGATTGTCATGAAGTATCAAAACTTATTGCACAATTAACACAAAGAGAAATTATTGTTCGAGACAGATTAAGAATACATTATTTTACTAAAGATGGTCATTGTTCATGTGATAATCATTTTTAATTATTATTTTCATAATAAAATAATGTAGATAAGATGAATTCGAAAGATTCGAAAAAGAATATTATTATTTATTTTCGTAAAATATTACTCAAAATTGATTTTTTTTGTCTTCAGTTGATACTAAGAAATAATGACATTTATCAATAATAGATAATGAAATTATTGTACTGAATAACTACTAGGATATTATATTCGATTAGTAATTAATCAGTTTTATTTCTGTATAAAGAGTGTATCACTTAGGCTTCCATGTTGTTTCGCTTGTCTTTTATTCATGGATTGCTAATTAAATATTTTAGAAAATTGCATTCTGTTATTAATTGATTCATTGATAAATATTTATATTCACATTGTTATCTTGTTTCTAATATTTTCAACAAATTTATATTTAGGGTTATCCAAAATTAGCGATGGAGGTACTTCTTTTTTTTCTTAAAGATAGATAGAGCGTCTTTCACTCTATTTTCTATGCTAAATTTTCGATAAGGTTTGTTTCGTTATCATTTGTGTTAGTCAGAGCTGTAGAATCTATCCACGTGACCGTACGGGGAAAATTTTGAAAATTTATAAGAATCTGGGGAAATTTTTTGCAAAATGTTCTTTATAGTTGAAGAATTTTTCTCGAAAATATTCTTTACACTGGGAATTTTTTCAATAAAAATTATCCGTACGAGGAAATTTTCTGTTTTTACGGTAGATTCTGTAGCCCTAGTGTTGATAATACAATTTAAATCGGTAATATGTCGTATTAAAAATTGAAATATGTCATTCAATATACAACACGAGACTTAGAGAGAACAATTACAATAAGCATTGGCGTGAGGATTATAGAGCTTTCAGACTGCACCTTGTAGCATCTTTCAGTTTTACTTTGTAAAGTATATCTAGTGAGGAAACGCTGAAATAACAAAAAACAACATTTTGCCTCTGATCATAGTCTACTTTCTCAAATTTTGTTCGTACTGAAAGCAAAAAAATGTAATTATAAAATAAGTGATCTTATATAAAATGTAGAGCATTTGATGGCATATTTTAATTGTTAATACAAGCGTATGAACTGTAATGACAACAGAATATATCCTATAAAAAATTTAGCGTCATAATATTAGTTGAAGTATGATCAAATAGCGTGAAAAACGCTCTATTTATCCGTAAAAAAATATCTCCTTCAATAATTTTGAATAACTCTAATTAGTATTAAAAAATCGAAACTTCTTCAATATAATATATTCAAAAATAGATAACATTTGTTTTTTTCCTCATAACAAAATAATTGTGGTTAAATGCATGTTTTGTTATATGATACATATTCATATAATATATTTTCAACAGAAACAAAAAACCATATGTGTCTTATCTTATTCTGTACTTTTTTTCTGTAATGTAAGAAGAACAATTTATATTCTACTTGCATAAATCTTAGTCATAAATCAATTAAGATACATTACACATTCTTTCTCCTATCTCTATTCGACTTTGCTTTAGCTTGTTATCAAAAGGTCAAAATAAGATCGAATTTTGAATATTTATTTATAAGATTCTGTCATCATAAAAATAAGGACATACACATTGTTTTTTCTATATACAAATATCAAAAATAAATTTTTTAAGAAAATGTTATTTCATGAATTATTTCATGAAATAAAGTTATTAAATTATCTAAGCCAAATAAATAACCATCTTCATGTGAACCACGTACCCATGGTTTTCGATGTGTTATAGAAATATCTTTTGGCAATAAACGTGTCTTTCCAAAATCAATCATCCATAATGATGCTTTATTTCCATCATGTACAAATAAAAGAGATGAACTAATTAACTGTAAATAAAAAAAAATATATTCGATCTAGTTAAGATTTTGTAAACAAACCTCATGAGTTTGGAAGAAATCTGAATTAGTACATGTTGAACGTAATTCAACAAGGCGTTCATAATATCCGGTCTACAAAATAAAAATATAAATAGGAATAATAAAAATTTTCAATTCAAAACTTACAGCACGTGGTAATGAATTATCAATAAAATCCATTAATTGTTTTTTAACATCATTACGTTCTTTAATTCTTTGAAATTCTTTTGACATCAAACCACGAGATTTCTATATACGTATAAAAAAAAATATTTAAATAAACGATGATTAGCTTTTATTTTACCTTAATAGCTTCAATACGAAAACCTAAATCTTGACTTGAACTTAAACTTTCTCGCCATATCATATAACGTGGTTTAAGAATTTTTTTTTCTTGATTTTCTTTTTCGGTTGGAGCTAATGGATTAATTGTAATCATTTTATTATATAAATCCTAAAAAAATGTTGAATATGTATTCAATTTAAAATAAATCTTTTGTCTTACAGCTCTTGGTTCTGGATTACGTTCAGATTTCTCAAGCTCTTCTTCTAAATAAGTTCTTACACCTATTTTACAATCCATTATACATGGTTCATGAAATGAAGCTAATAGATCTTCCATTTCAATAAAAACTTCAATAGAAAAACAAATTAATATTCAAAAAGAATTTTGTTTATCATTTCTTACATTTTCCTTCGTCATCTTCGATAGTTCCATTATATTTTGGAACAAAATTTTTCAAACTATCATTTTGTAATAATTCACAACAGATTCGTTCATTTTCATTCAATTGTTTTAATACATAACCATCATGAATACCTTCTTTAAATGTTCCTTTAATTACACAAAAAAAAAATATTTCAAATCAAAACTTGTAAATTCTTACCAGGATGACCAACTAATTGTATCCATTCATATTTTTCTTTTTTTGTGCGAGTAAATGTAAGTAATGATGTAACAACTTTAGAACAAGCTTTCCAATTTGGTGTATTCTGAATAGAAGAAAATAAAAACACATTTTGAAAAAAATCTTAATTTTACTTTTTTGACATGTTCTTCAATATACTTTGAATGAATAGGTGATGAATGTAATTCATCATTGTTTAATCCTTGCCAAATACCAAGTAATGTATTTTTTATTGATTTATTATTATTATGTTTTGTTGATGATATTGGATATTGATAATATTGTGAAGGTGATAGATAACCTTTTGATGTTGAAGTTATAGCTGTCGTCATTTCTTGCTTATTGTTATCATCGGAATGATTCGAATGTTGTTGGTTTTTATGAGTATTTGTTTGTGTAACTATATCACGTACGTTTTTCTTTCTTTGTTTATTATTCAAATGAGAATGTTTTGAAAATGACGAAAGATTACATCTGATTTTTTTTGTTAAAGACAAGTATTCAATATCTGAATACGAATGTAATTTTGAAGGAATTGAACCCATCGGTGTTGTAACGCCAGGTACACTTAATTGTATTGCTGTATGAAAAAGAACATTATTAACGCTTGATGCATACATGATTTATTTGAAAATGAAAGTAATAGGAATGTCATGATTATCATTTAATAACTAGCAGATTTTTATAGTTTCACGTGAGTAATAATTATTGAGAACGAATTAAACATATTGTACATTTTCACATTAACGCCTTCTTCGTTTTTATATTATTGTCTCATCAAAGAGTCATAGAACAAATGATTGTGTTCTTTGTTTGCTCTGAAAGTATATCTACTGTCTAACGTTACATATATCTCGTGAGGTTAATATAACAGCTGTGAAAAATAATAATGATAAAAGTACAAAAGCATGCCAGAAGTTAAAATGATCGACTCAGTTTACTGCTGTTTATAAAAAATCATATTGTCAAATAATAAATCTCGTTGATAATATAAACAAAACTCTGATCTAATGATTTGTCAAGCATTAAATTAAAAAAATATAATTCTTCATTTTTCTTACTTAAATATATTTTAAAATGATAGTTGATGTTTCTATTTTATAAAAATATAACTTTATACTATGATTAATTTATATTATAGTATAATACGTTGAATAATATATTCAAATCTTTCTTCCTTCCTTATGGTGTTTCCCATAATCGAACTGCGTCATTGTAAAAGTACGCTATTAATGAGACGCAAACATCTGCTGACCGTTATTCATGACTTACTGACGCATATGATAAGTTGCGAAATATATTATGATTCCGTTGTAAGAATCAATTATTTAAATATTTTCTTGAATGATATTTGCGAAGTAATTTTTGACTTATGTCAAAGGTTAGTCATATCAAGAGAAATACATCTGCACAGAATTATGGCGAATTATATATATATATTTTTCCGAAGTAAATGAAGGGTTATATATATTCACATGTATAAAAAAATAATATATGATATATTGATTTAGAGTTTTTGAAAAAAATATTTATACCAATATTAAATGATATAGATCATTATTATATTCAAGAAATAGTACAGCTTTGAGAAATGACAGCCCGTCGTACAGCTTCTTCTCTTTGTCCTTGTGGACTAAATCGATAAGCAAGGGCTTGCATTGGTTGATAGTAATTTCTTTGCATCCATCCACTAGTATATGCCATAATTCTTTTCACCTGACGTGATCGACCACCGATTAAAACTGATTGAACAACAAGTAATTGATTTTTGACCTGACCAATTTCATAGAATTGATTGCCACTTCCCTGGCAAAGTCTAACATTGTTAAAGAAAACTCTATCATCGAATTCATCTGGTGAAAGTGCTAGAGCAAGAAAAAAGATAAGTCTATCTTCTTCATCTGTCATATTCATCCAATTAGAATAATTTCGATATCGTCGAATATCGTTATCATTATAATCGATTACAGTACATACACAATCCAAGTAATACATTACTTTAGCAATATCCGCATCTGGAATTGTAGCTGATTGGCCAAATTTTTTGAAATCATAATCTGTGTTTTGAAAATATGCCATAATAGAATATTGGAAAAAAAATATATTGAATACTATGAGTTTTGACATACATATTTGCAACAATTTATATATGTCCATCATAAATTAAAAATTCTATCTTCCTAGGAAGTACAAGAAGGTAGTAAAATACCGCCAATAAGGATGCTCCACAATTCCAACTTATAGCAAAACAGACACATAACACTTCTTGGAAAGTTGAACGCTTGTAAAATTTTAATAACTGCATATGGAAACAAATTACTTCAAGATTCTATTTATGATATACACTAAGGAAGAAAAAGAACGAAGAAAAATTATTATAAATGTCGTACATAAGCAATGAGAACGCTATTTTCTTTTGTAGATTAAATATTTTTCTAGTTTTATTTCATATTTCCGAAAAAAAAACTAACGGGTAATTCGAGTACATTTTTTTTAAGTAAAAGCTAATTAAATAAAATATGTCAATGTTATTAAATTGATTGTTGGCATTGTGTTAATCTTAATTCGAAAAGACAAGATAATCATATAGTATTTTTGCTTTGAACATTAACAAAAACCTATGAACCTAAAGATTCCATGCGTAAAAACATGAACAGATTATCGTAATTCTTTTTGTCATATAAGATTAATTATATTTATAATATCTGGAACATTTCTACTTATATTAATTATTTATGATAAGTAATAGTTTTATTCTCTTTGTAGAACATTTGTTTTTTTGTTGTTGTTAAGAACATTGACTATGAAGAATATTTGAACATTATTTACTTACGTAAGATTTTTGAAAGAATAATATTTACATACGTGTTAACTCAATTACCTGGATACGATACCACAGAAGAAGAAAAAACTTCTTTTCTTTTTGAATTATAAAATAGTATCTTTGCATGAGTACTTTGTCTATTACTACTACCAAGTGTGAAAATATAAATGAATATTTTATAGTTTTCAAGTATTTGTCAAACGCGTTTTTTTTTCAAGGTTTTTTTCTATTGACTTTTTAATTCGTCTATTTACTGACGTTTAAATATAAATAATATATATAAATGTTTTCTATAATTTAGTAGATTTTTCTCATAATAAACACGACTAGAACGAATAATTTACTAATTTGTTTTTTTCTTTTCTTTTAAACAATCATAGTAAGAGGTAAGAATGTTCTATTTTTCTTGGGAAGTGTTACACGCTAAAACAATAAGAATATATAGTTAGATTGATAGTAAATTTAATCTTAGTAGCTAATCGAGTATTTATAATAATCTTACACTTCTTTTCTTTTTATAGATTATAGTAAAAAAAAGAGTATTATACGAATGTATTCAATAGTAGTAGTTAATTTTTGTTTTATAGAAATGTACTAGACTGGAAATAATTTTTTAGGAAAAGTACGATATCTCATTTAAACGAAAAAAAATCAGTAGGTTATATAGTACAATAGCTATTTATCGGTTCTTTTCATTGAGTTAAATCAATCGTATTATGAAGATAGTTTAATACAATATATAGCTATAAAGATTAATAGTTTTGTTATTTAATAATGTTGATAATTTATGATTGTCTTCATGAATAGATCTTATGATTGATTATAAATAAAACTATTACAGATAGTAGTTGATATATAAAAAAAAAGAATAAAAATGAAATGATTTTCTCTTATCTCAATTGTCACACAAGTGGAGACAATATTTTGTTCGATATATCTATCTATATATCTATGTAATTCCTTTCGGTATATCTATATGTCTACCCATAAAAATATCTATATGTACATTATTATTGATAAATTGATACATTGGCATGCACAAAAGTATCATTGAGATCATCACCAGGAAGATTAAGATGGAACTGTAGTGTGCCTGATAAAATCTTCATCCTATTCTTTTTCTTTCTGTTCTCCAACATATCATACAATTACCCATAGACACACGAAGCACATTCTCCACTCCATCTCATCGATTGTCATCGTCAAATTGATTTTCGACCCACCAAAAAAAAAGGCTTTCGCTATTATTAATAAGCTAGCGAACAACTCTATATGGAAATTTGTTCTTTCTTATGCTTGATCGACTGAAGAGAAAACACAAACTAGACATTCGAACTTTCATTATCTACAAGTTATTGTTTAGTAAGTTTTTATATTTTTCAAGGTTATTTATCTGGAAATAGAATGTCCTATCAAATATCCATCGAGAATCGATATTATCTCTATATACACTGTTCGATAAATTTCATTTGTGTTCTGTAAATAAGTACAAAATCAATATTATAGTCTATTGCTTTTTTAGAGAAATATTGACTTGAAAATTCTTATGGGAATAATAATAATAAAAATAATATCTTTTTCTTATTCTATGAATAACTTTATCCGAAACAAATAAAAGTGAATAAGTACGATTTTCTTATCAGTATATATATATATATATATGGAATCTACTGAAAAAAAGCTCTAAATTTTATTCAGCTTTGACACTGGTTTATCGTAAGTTTTCTTTTTTTTTGGTTAATCTAATATTGAATTTATTCTATATAGTGACGAAAAATAATAATAAATCAAAGTTCATTGACATAAACACGTTTATACAATGTAGATGAAAATGTTTTTAGTCACGTCATGAATGTTTAAAAAGATTGTTCTTTATATCTCGTGGGATTTGTATTATTGTTTAATTACCCTTTACATAAAAATCTATTCGAAATTTATTCCACCATTTATCTAAAGTTTATTACTCTGTATATTATTTGCATATGAGTATTTATTTTATATATATATATATATATCATGGTAGAACTAAATGAAGAAAGACAAGCAGTTTGTTATTTGTACTTGTGAGCTGTTGAGACATATAATAAGGTTCTACCAGTATTGAAATGATGACTATAGAGTTTTTAGTTTTTGCCCGAGGGATAAATTTTCAAGATTTATATATATAAACGTAGAATTACAAAGAAGAAAAACAGATTTATCTTGTATACAATCAATGGTGAGGGTCAAGAATAGTAATGAAATCAAGGTACATAGATCTATCTTTATGAATCTCATCATTATTCTCTAAGAAATTTTCTAGTGGAAGCAATATTATTATATCCATCCTTAGCACACATAGAAAAGAAAGATCTATATACTATCATAGAAATATTTAAGTACTTTATGAGTGTCAATCTTTGTCTCTTCTTTGTTTTTTGCGTCTTATTATAAGTACATAGAAAAGAAAATAAAAGGATCAAAAATAACAGAGCTAAAGAAGATAACGATTTGAACATTAACTCTTGTTCTATTTTAGTTAGCTGTTATAGTTAATGATGAGATGATTTCTATTTCCTTATGTCAAAAAATAAAGAGCATAGAAGAAAAAAAAATATATATGAAGAAAAAAAAATGTAGGATGATGCTTCACCAATAGTCGATTTCTCGCTGACTAGAAAAGAAATAAGAGATTAAAGACATGTTGTGCCTTTAAGCTTTTTTTGAAAAAAAATATCGCAACAAAAAAAGTGACACTATCTTGTCAATATGAAACGCCTGTATATGTGGTAAAATCTCTTTTTCTCTTAAATTTTTGCTCTTCATACACTTTCTCTAATACCATTAGAGATAATTGACTTTAAGAAAAAAGCGAAGCAAAGAGAGAGAGAGAGATGCAGAGGAAGAGAGAAAGTGAGTGAATGGAGAAAAAATAGATAAAAGGAATGATATGAAAACGAAGTAGATAGACTACAGTAATGTCTTCAACAGAACGAAGAAAGATAGAAAACAGGTAAGGAAAAGTTTCCTTCCGTTACATTCCGTTTTTTATTCTTTTCTTAAAAAATGAGAGTAAGAATGTAATATGAAGTCAACCATAATCAATTTGTAAATGATTTGAATCTTTTGACTTTAAAATGACAATAGTAACGTTAGCAAAATGATTCTCAATATTCAATGACCATTTATTTCAATTACAACTCTCTTATTTAAACAAATGACTTTCTTTTTTTAGGTTTTTCTTACAAGAAAACATGTAAGATCATTCTTTTTTTCTATTGCTTCTAAATTCATTCAAGACAAAGATAATTACGACATTTTTTTCTTGTAGAAATTCTTTGGAAACCTATTGATAATTATGATCATTAAGTAAAGTATTACATGAGTTAACTACATTCAATCTCATTTGATAATGATGTCTATGACCTTGTTTCTACTTTGTAAAACATCCTCTTACACATTTTTTTTAATCTTATATTAGCAAATTAAAAAAACAATATCAATATGATTTCTTTTAAAGATATCGAAGAAAACATACTTTTCTAATGGTAGTAATAGTTTCTTGTTTTTTCTTCAAGTTTGTTATTATAGCTGATCATCCTAAATTGCTTGTTGTCATCTCGCCCCCACCTTACTTTGCTCTTTCATTACCAACGTCAACATATTTGCTGATCGTAGAAAAAAAAACTGCATAGATAGTAACGCAGGTTATTGCTTATATATAGAATGTAATCGTCCGGTTAATTATATATCAACGATGTTTTAATCTAAATATGTTTTGTTCGTTACTGTTGATTAAGGTCATTTATTTTTATAAGTGATTTCTTTATTTTTTAGTTTCTTGGAAAAGAAAAAAGGAGAAGAAAAAAAAAGAAGAAAGAAAAAATTAATTATTCCTTATGCTTTTCTTTGTATCTCTATTCTTCTTCTTCTCTCACTCTGAATGACTGCAGGGTTCAGAACAGCATAGAAAATTGAATAGACATATTGACAGTTAAATAATCGCGATCCGAGTGTAGTTTATTTTCTATATTGACCTTCTCTACACTTCTTTTTCTCATTCATCAAATAGAGTTAAGCTACGTTTTTTCTTCACTGAAATAAAAATAAGTTATTGAATAAATGGTCTTCATCTCATGGGGACAATACATAATAGTATGTTTAACAGTAGTTTGTTTGGCTAATCATTTAATTACTATCCATATTCAATTGACAGGCATTCATGATTATTCGTTTTATACATCGATTATTATTTATATATATTGATGAAACAGCAAATGTCCAAAAAAAGCAAGTAGTTCATTTCTATTTTCAGATTATATAAACACTTCATAAAAAAAAAAGTTCACTTGATTCAATTATTATGTTTACTTTGACCTACATTAAAAAATAAAAACTCAAAAAACGTTTTTGTCTTTTTCTCATAAAGATCTCAAGCATGCTCTCTTATCATGGTACTCATTCTTATTCCCAAGACAGTCAATCTTTTTTGCTTTGATCGTTGTTTCTTTTGCATTTATTCAGTTTTCTTCCTCTATCTCTTGTGTCGACGTCATTCACTTCAATTATGAGTCTTCATTCACTTTCTCGAGACGTATACAAAAAGGTTAAATCGTTTTTGATCATCGCGCAAAAGTGATTTGCGTGAATTTTTTTTGTTGTTGTTCAACGTAAATGCTGCTAACTGACAAGCAAAACAAGAGAGACAAGAAAAGAAGTATTTTTTTTAATAAAGAGAGAGAAAGAATCAGCACTGAACAAAAACAGTGAATAGGATTAGGCATGTTGTCGAGCTAAGAGAAAACGTCATGACGGATGAGAACAAGACCCGCATGAAATGCTTATCAGCAGGAGAACGTAAGATCGACACCAAAAAAAAAAAAGAAAAGAAAAAAGAAATCCTTCAAGTTTCGATGCTTCATACTGTGATCCGTCGTTTTCAAAGACGTCATCATCAGTCGAGACGTATGCTGTGTCTTATCAAGAGATAGTTTCTAAAAAATTAATGGAATAGACTTGTCATCTATGCACACATATTGCATGTGTGCATCGTTCAAGAAATTATAGACTATCTTTGTTACGTCTGTCCACACTTATTATGTCAACAGATCGTTCTTGAACGAGTCTGTCAACAAACTTTTTATTTCTTGTTATGTTTTGTTTCTTATTTTTTTTTGTTTGTTAAAAATGAATGACATAATTAAGTTGATATACATTATTGAAGAAAGTTTTTAGTAGATGTTTTTTTACTCTGTTGTTTATATGATAGTCTATCAAGTTTGTTCGTACATTATTATCAATGAAGCGTATGCGAGTAAATCTTTATATTTAGCCCGAGAAAGATTTTAATTCGAAATTCTATTATATCCAAAGAGAATATAAGAAATTTGTTAACATATTCAACGAAGAAAAAGAAAAGAAAAAGCATTTTGTTTTTTTCATGAAGTGACATCATTATCAACTAATTCAATCGAATTAGTTTGTTAAGAATATTATTTTAATCTATCATCATCTCTTTCCTTTTTTTCCTCTTTTCAACGAGTAACAAATTTTTTTCTTTTTAGATGAATCTTTACTATACTTAGATAAAGAAGAAAAAAACATATCATTTCGTTTGTTCATAGATCATAGCAAGTAGAAATATGGTATTAATGCACGCATATCTATTTCAAGGTATATATGATTATGATTGGATTGCATGCTTAGATAATCTTTATTATCGTGTTTAGCCTATATCCTTTAGAAGAAGAAAACAAAATCGTATTATTCTCCTCTTTTTTCTTCTTTTTTTCAATCATTTTTAACTATTATCAGTAAGTATACTTGTAAACATGTTTTCTAATTAAAAAATATCTTTCTTGAATACTTAGTCTTAAAGTATTGTTGAAAAAAAAATATCATACATCAGTTTTTTTTTATTATATATAATAAATGAAGTTTTTAAAGGCGTCACTTGAGGTATTTTTAAAGGCATGATTTTAATAATATGAAAAATTTTATTTTTAGATATGTCTGTAAAAACACGACAAACGATAATCTCATCATCATGCTTGTTGATTTAACTAATCTTTCTTTTTCGCATATACATGACGACAGTGAACAACGATGAGCGAGTCAATTCCATAAGCGGTTTTCCACCGCAAACATCTCTTCTATTAGATAATCCCTCAACACGCCCAATATTCATGTCCATTATTGTCATACTCAAAGTTTATCCGGTGCTCATGTGTATTTTGGGTTCATTTGGAAATTTATTATCATTTTGTGTTTTACTTCGTGCCAATATGAGACGATATTCAACATTTTGTTATTTAGCGTGTCTTGCTCTTGTTGATCTCGGAGTTATAATAACATTTTGTACTAATTTTATATCATTATATCATTTTAATAATGATATACAAAATGGACCATTTGCATGTAAATTATTTGCATTTTGTATTTATTTTCTTCCACAGTATTCATCATGGATATTAGTTGCTGTTAGTATTGATCGTGTTATATCAGCAAAATATCTTCGTTTAGCTAAAACATGGTCAAAACCAAGACATTCTGTTTTAGTTACACTTTTACTTGGACTTGTTCTTGGATTATTAAATAGTCATTTTTTTCTATATGAAAATAATTCACTCAAACCAATACATCAACATCAATCAATTGTACAAAATAATCGAACTAATATACTTGACAAATATTTATCACCAGAAACACTTCTACCACATCATACTAATGAGTATTTATTACCCAATAGTTTTTCGCATGATATATCTAATAGTGCTTCTTCACCATCATCTCTATATGAACCATATACACCACCATCAATTCAATCAATTCATCAAGATGTAACATTACAACCACAACAACAACAACAAGATGATAGAACTATAATAACAATTCAAAAACCAATTCCAATATTTGATGTTAATTATATTCACTGTTCACTTGAAAATTCTCCTCAACATGAAAATCTTCATGTCTATTGGGTGTGGATAGATCTCCTTATGAATGTCTTTTTACCATTTACAGGTAAATAAAAGAAAAAATATGTCTGTTTGTTTAATTTCCTACTTTTTTTTTCTTTAAAGCAATGATTGCTTGTACTATTATTATAATTTTAACACTTGTTCGTTCATCAACAAGATCCGGTTCAACATCTGCTCGTCGTTCACGTCGTCGTCGTAATATATCTGTCATGTTAATTACTGTCAATCTTGTTTTTATTAGTTTAACAGCTCCAATAGTTATATTTTTAAGTATATACGTCTATGTTAAACAAGAAGCAAATCCTTATCATCAATTAATATTAATATTAATTAAAATCTTTTGTATTATTTTAATGAATCTTAATCATTCAGTAAATATTGTTATTTATTCAGTAACAGCAAAAGAATTTCGTACTGAAATGACAAATTTCTTACGTGCAGTACTTTATTGGATTATTGGTAAACCAACCAATCCACATGATTTACCATTTATGGAAGATAATGAAACGTTTTTTTCACGTTTTAGACGTTTAAGATATAATTTATTTAAATGTTGTCAAATAAAAGTACGTTCAAATTCAACAAATGAAAATGATTCAAGTGGTTTAAATCACACAACAGCACCAGCCGGAGCAAATAAACGTTTATCAGCAGTTGATGGAAGTGTAGGAAAAAGTACACCGAAACAAAAAAAATCAAATCGAAATGGTAAAAAACGAAGAAAATCTTCGAATACACGTTTTAGTGAAACATCTACAACAGGACATAGAAATAGTCATCGTCTAACAGTACAATTACAAGCTGATCCAATATCATCTGTTTCAGAACGTGAAGATTTATCATTACATGATAAATCAAATTCAACTGAAGATTAAAAAAAAAAGAATTTTTTTTCTCTGTGTTAATTTTATTGTTATTCTGTTCTGCTATTTAAGTTTTATTTTTTTTCTGTTCTTGCTTTTGCTTATATATTCAATTCTAATCCCTTTTTCTTTCCTTGAACGTGCACAAAATATGACAACGAGACAAAAAAAATGAATCGATGATCTATTTCAATGAATATATCTCAAAAGGGTCGTTGGGAATTTTACAATGTTTTTGACAGACAAAACTATAATTGACAGTTTAATATATTAAAACTATTGCGATGTATATATATAATTTTTTTATGTCGTACGGATGGACGTTTTTTTAAAAGTACATTGATTTATTTTTACAATTTTATAAAAATTTAAAATAAATACGTGATTTTCAAAAGTAATTTCCGCTCTTTTCCATCATAGCATGCAACACAGTAGTAAACTATGAAAAAATGCAACAAAATGTCCTTTAAGCTTCAATGATAATTATTCTATTCTATAACGAGAAGAGACTCAAATGGCTGATTAGTATTGAAGCGTATTAGATTTTCCTCCCATCCCCCAAAAATAAAAAAAAGAATCGGAAAAAATAACTAATTACAAAGATCAATCTAATATAAATGACTAAATGTTTGTCATATCAGTTCTTTATTTTTCAAAAAGAAGTTCGCGGAGTATAAATTAATCAAATAAGCAAAATTGTGTTAGTGCAAGTTCTTTGATCGATCGAGATAATGAACTTTCATGTTAGAAATAGATCTATGAAAACTTTTCACCAGAAAAAATTGTATTTAATTGATACAAAATTAGCTTATTCTATTTTTTAGTTAAAAATAAACTCATTTTATCTGTAAAAGGTCAGAATTCACGTAGCGATAAAATTACTATATTGACTTGAATTCTATTCTTACTTCAGATAATCTTAATAAAGTAAAGCATATTTTTTTCTTCTAGTCACGAGAGAGAATTAGACGTATTTTGAACATTTATGAACTAATTGGCATTAAGTCGAATAAAATCCTATTGATATCAGAGGAAATTGTTTATGATTTAAATAGTTATAATTATATATATATATATACTATTAGAAAAATGAAATATGATTTTTGAGTACACATGCACTAAGTATAACGATATGTCCTTAGCATTTTTATTATGTCTCCATTGCAATAGTCATCCGTATATAGTTTAAACATATCTGAATATTAAATTACGTGACAAAAATTATGAATATATATTTATATAATTTTTTTAAGTTAAAGGTCACAGTTGTTTATTGTATAAATATATTCTAGTATCATACATGAATATACAAATAGACACGCAATCAATTCATTGAGTTTGTTTAGCTTCTTTTGGACTTATGATTTAATTAGAAAAAAATTATTGAATTATTCTTTGTTTGATTGTTGAACTCTATGGCATTAGATTTTATGAGGAATGAGATAAATTTAAAATAATCAAATTTAGTTATTCAATTTGAATGCATATCGATATGTATACTCTGTGACTCTTTTGAGGTAAACAAGAAAATTTGTTCCAATTATAATAACACATTGTATAAGATACATTTAATGATTTGTTTATCGTGTTTTTTGTAATAAATAAGAACGAAAAAAGCAAAAGATTTTTATCTTCTCCTCCACCTCTCTGCTTCCCTTTCTCTCTCTCTCTCTCTCTGTCTCTCTCCTGTAACCAAAGATTATAAACTAATATAATTATAACAAAAACAAGCAAATATAAGAATGAAAAAAAGAAAAATACGCAACAAAAAGATGGAGAGACGCTTAAAAAAAGAATTAATGAAATATTAGTATATATATATATATATATGAAAAGAAAAACAACAACAACAACAATAAACGTCTTTTTTTTGAAAGAAAAAGGAAAGAATAATTGTATAGTAAGGAACAATTTGTATTTGTTCTTATCTTTTTATTGGTATGTCACTTAGTATCTGTGAGGTTTTGTTGCTGCGAGAAAAACAGAGTATTCATATTTTTTAGTCTATTTTAATTGAATAAATTTTTCGGACGAATGCTTGAGTACCAATGTAACCAAATGTTCCACACATTATGCCTAGACCAAGAGAGAATAATGCCATATAACCAAAGTAAAATACTGTTTGAAACATTCCATACATTCTAGATAAAAAAAATTTGTTTTAATAGAATTTTAGTTTTCGATATGTAAATTACTTTGTTTTAAAAAAGAAATAGTACATTGCATATAAATAAACATAGAATGATGATGAAGCTCCAGCAAGAAAACTTGTCCATTGCCTAAAATATATTTTTTAATTAATATTCTAGATTTCAGTTATATGAAGAAAGTTTGTTTGACAGGTGATATATATATATACTGTATAATATGCTACAAAAGATCTACATAATCGTCGTAATTTTTCACTACATTACATTTTTATAAAAATAACTATATTTATGCCTCAATAATTTCTTCTTCAATTCTAAAATAGACTAAATAAATTAACTGTTATTGTTTGTTTTTTTCCATTAGAACATATTCACATCACTTCTAATGTTAGAATTAACGTGTTTGAACTTTCTCAAAAACATACAAAGTTTATGAAAAATGCGTAATATCATCCAAATGAAGTCCTCATGATTTTCGAATCGTGTCCATAACAAAAGCATTTGATTACGTCTCAATTAAATTTTTGGTCAACAATCAGTGGAGGATTTAGGGGGAGGGCGATGGGGGTGATTGTCCCCTCACCTTCCGAATTTTTTTTGATTTTTGACTACAAAAATGAAGGAAAAAATAGGCCCATACTACTTCAATTGGACTCAAAAAATAGCTTTTAGCCAAAATCGCACTTCCATACGCAAAAAAAAATCGTCGCTCCCCCCTTCCAAAGTCCTAGATCCGTCGCTGATAACAATGAGGTATAAAAAGCAACAACAAGTTCACATTATTAGGACTGGTACTGAGAATACGATAGACTCTATAAAATAGATGGATTTTATTCACTGCTATACATAACTAAATCGTTTATTTAAGGTTTCTGCTCTAATCAACAAAATACTACTTTGAAAACTTTATTCAAATGAGATCCGATAATTATAGAAGTTTTCCATGACTGTGAATTTCTACAACTATTTAACATTTCCCATGAGTTTTATATGTTTGATTTTAATTTATACTAAAAAACATCTACATCCGTTGCTCAACCCTACATATCTCTAATCGTATTATCTTAATTAACATTGATGAATTGTACTGTGCATTTTTTTCTTTGGCTCATTGAATTTTCTTCTCACGATGTCTTTAACAGTACTAGATCATATTTTCGTATATATATATGTCAGTCGAATGTTTTTTTTGTCGCATTATTTTGCAACAGCTGTACAAAATTTCCATTTTGTCCTTCAAAATAATAAAAACTTCTTTTACCATCGATAATCTTCTGCATTAAGCAAAAAATATGTTGCAACTATTGTTACACATACAGTCACAACGGCAAGTATTAAAAATACAAGTAACATAAATCCATAAACATAATAAATCTAAATAAAAAATCTTTTTATTTTTTTTATATGGATTCTGTCTGTTTACCTTATATGCCCAAAATGATGTAAAAATGAAATACCTAAATAGCAAAGATTTTTAGATGAATTATTATTCTTTACAAGAAAAAAATTAAATTTTAATTTACATCTCAATAAAAATCGAACCAAATGGTAAAACTCCACTTGCAAATATAATTACAAGTGGTTCCATAAACCATTTCTTTTCGGGAATTGGTCGTGGAACAGCATTTGTTCGACATGGATGATTTGTTTTTCCGCTTATATTTCTTCCTAATACTGTTCCAACTGCAGTTAATGGCAATATAATAAATAAGCAAATAGCTGCTACACTTAACTACGAAAAAAAAAAGAAAAATTTAATTTTTTTTAAATCAAAGAGAACACAAACCATAACAGTAAATGGAATTGAACGTGATGATCCATAGTAAATTGAAATAAAATTAACGAGAAATGCCACACCACATATTGAAACTGGAACAAGAAATGCGCCTACAATTATTTGTTTCATCCATAAATGTCCTTAAATGAAATAATAATACAATAAAAGAGTTTAGTATGTATCAAAAAAATAAATAACGAACCTCCCATTCGTGCATATAAACTTCCACCAGTATAACCATTTACTATTCCTGATGCAGCATATAAAAATATAGCTGTACTAAATAATAATGCACGCCTAAAAAATAAAGAATTAATAAAATCGTTTTTTGAAAATTTTCATTTTACTCTGTATAAAGATCACCAAGAATAGTAATAACAATACAAAGTATGGTTACAGTTGCTATTTGATAACCAGAACCAATTAATGAACAAAATAGTATCGGATGAGTTGGTGGACGAAATACATCACCATGTACTTGTTTCCAACCGTATTCATCACCTAAATCACGTTCCTAGAATGAAATAATTATATATTCATCTAGTTTATCGGTAGTTTTCGTATTCTTACCATATCATCTAAATCATCATCTTTACCATATCTTGCATAATCTTTTCTTAATGTTCTTAATAAAATCATACTAACAAGTCCAACAAGAAATAAAACCATCATAAATGAATTAAATATTGAAAACCAATGAATCTAAATAACATAAATAAATATATTTTATTTTTTTTTCAAAATTTTTACTTTATGTTGAAAAAATCCTGCATCAAGATATTTATCAAATCTATTGACAAATTGTGTATTCGATGATTTCCATACAACTTCATATGAAAATTCTAATTTTGTATTTGGTTTTATTTCTTTTTTTGATTCTGATGTTAAATTAACATCAATTATATGATTACCATTATAACCAATTTCAAATTTTTTATGTGTCCATATATAGGCAGTTTTACCTGATTCATCCATTTCACCAACAATACCTAGAATATTTTTTAAAAGTTAAAAATAAATCTAGAAAATTAAATATAACTAACCCCAAATAGGTAAATCATCAATAAACATTTGATACCAGTAATGATTTTTAATTGCATATAAAAATGCATCATAATTTTCAGGTGTTAAAGTTATGTCACAGAATTCGGTTTTAGTTTTATCACCTAAAAATTTTGAATATGTTTGATAAATAAAATAGAAATAAAAATCTTACGTTTAAAATTAATATCAACTCCACTATATTCTAATTCAACGCCTAAAATATTTTCACCTAATGTTTCATGATAATGTGAGATTTCTTTTTTTGTTCCTCGACAAAATGGTAATGAAAAATAATTATATGTTTCTTGTCGATTATGATATGGACCAACTGTGTTCATCCATAAAACAACTTCTTGACCTTCTTCATACTAAATTAAAAAAAGCAAGGAAAATTACTCAATAGAACATATTTGTATTGTAACTAAATATGTATACTTTATGATCATGTTCATCACAATGAGTAAATGTTAAAATACCCAAAAGAATAACAATTGAATGATATATATTCATTATTACAAAAGCTTTTTTTTTTGTTTTGTTCTATTTTAATCAATAATAATGATTAATTAATAGGCTTGTCTATTCGATTGACCTCATATCTAGAAAAGAATAATTTTCGTTTTCTTGGGGTTAAATACATAGATAATTAAGATATGAATAAATTCAACTTTATTTTTGATACTCAAAACTATTTGTTTATTAAATAGGTCAGTGAAAATTATTTGAAAAATTGAGTTATGTTAATAAAAGAACAAGAAAATGAGAGTATTATTTATTTTTTGCAGAAGATAATCAAAGAAAGGAAATTGAATTACATGATTTGGCTTAGTGATTTTTGTTCTTTAACCAATAGATAATATCAATGAGCAAAAAGGACAAGAATGTGACAATGATCAATGAAATCAACAACACATAACTAATGATGAAGACTCGTCATCAAGTTTTTTCTTATTCTTATTGGTTCATTCAACTTCATAACACATTTATGCATTTTGTTATAAGATAAAACACTTTATTTCTATAAATAATAAAGATTGAACAATCAAAATCAAAATCTTTGAAATTAAATAATTTTTAAACTTAACAAAATTCCATCATGGTCATTGCTAAGAATCAAAATTTTACTAATGGTATTGTGTGTGTGTAAACTAAAAGCAACCTTGTCTTTCAAGCATATTTATCAGAATTCATCGTAAATTAGAGAAAGGATGACATCATCAAGTTATTTACTTGATCGTGAAATTCTTGGTTCAACTCGAAATATAATCGATGCGCATTCAAATGCTCCATTTTCACAGCATAATTCATATCGTGGTTCCTATGGAACAACAAGTCCACTACCATATACAACGACAACTACTAGTTATCATCACCATAGTTACGGAAACGGTTCAAATGATGTTTGTGAAACAAAAAAAGTTGTAATCGATGTAAGATAATAGAGTTGTGTCTATAATATCAGAATTACATTGTTTTATTTTAGTTTCAAGACCAAATTCGTTTATTAAAAAGTGATCTAGAAAAAAAAGATGCCTTAATTCAAGAACTAACATCAATCAAGTAACATTGTATTTTTATAATAACTTATCAATTTGTTTTTTATTACATATTAGAGATCCTAATAAACATGAAAATTTCGAAGCATCAAAATATGAAGCTTTAGTTGGACAAGAACGAAGCGCATTTGAAGGTGCGAAACGTGAACTTGATCAATATCGAACAAAAGTCGAAGGATTAACCTATGATGTAAGATTATCTTTTAATCGACTTTTTTTTTGTTCTAATTATTAATAAATATTTAGTTACGTGAAACAACATTAAAATTAGCTGCAAAAGATGAACGTATAAATGAATTAAAACATGAAATTGATTCAATTAAAAGAGAATATGATTTAATTAATCAGGCTAATAATCAATTACATATACGCATACGTGAACTTGAAACAAATGTTAATTCATATGATTCCGTTTCGAATAAATCTTCATTAACGATATTAACATTACAAAAAGATGGAAAAGAAAAACAAGAACAAATACTTGAATTACAATCACGTGTTAGGTAAAGAAATATTGATAAATTTTTAATGATAATTTTTTTGTTTTATTTATCTAAATAAGAACACATATGGAAGAACGTGAAGCAAGTGAAAGAAAAACTGAAGCATTACAGAAAAAATTACAAGAATTATTTTCACAATTAAAAATTACAGTTACGGGAGATTTTGCACAACCAACTCCAGCATCATTTGATATTCTTATAACTAAAGTAAGTTAAAATGTAGAATATTATTTTTTAGACAGTTGTTTCACTGAGGAATATAAAAAAATGTGTGGCAGTTTATGAGTTTTACAATTATTAAGAAGACCTTCAAAGATTTCACTTTTAATGAAAACAAAATAATGCAATTAACCTTGTCAATTCTCTTCCTTTTCGAAACAAAGTCAAAGTTCTACAAGGACGCGAAATATTAATTGAGATTTTATAGAGTTATCTTGTCTCTATTCTGAATGGAAAACCATCTATGAGGTACTGAATTATTGCAAACGCCATAGGAATTAATCTAATCATGAAATTTTGCTTGTAAGAAGTTTTTGATATATAAAGCCTCCAATATATGTATGAAAATAATGACTAACTGTTTTCGTAAAGATTAAAATTGTCAGATTGATCTGTTAATGATCAAGTATCAACTAAAGCGTAATAAGATTTCACGTCTTTCTACTTGAACACTAGCTACTCGATCTGTCTGCGTAACGGTGCACCAGTGTAAGGAGGTTTCTTTTCAGAAAAATTGATCTAACATCACAACAGCGTAGCCGATATAAGCTAATTTTTTTGTGTACGTCTAAGAACGTTGTCCCAAACACATGTCAACAACTTTTTAATAAGCGAAAACCAGACGTTAAAAAACTTGATTCCGTCACGGCATGTAATTGTTAGCGTGGAACACGAATAAGAGAAGCATACTTGATATAGTTTATGGCACATGTAGAGCAACTGAGAATACGTTCTATGTCAGAGTTTCGGCCTAATATGTTTCCATCTCACTGAAATAGAGAGTGAATACGGGGAAAAAACTTGATTCCGACACGCTTAGACAGGTCGTACTCGTATTTGTACGTTAAAACGCTTCAAATCTAAGATGGCGCTATCTTTATGTACGAAGAACTCTGTATGTGAGGGAATATTTATCCATAGTAGTAGTTAATTATGAAAGTAAGATGATCTAAAGACCATATACTTCTTTGTTATACATACTCGAGTTATTTATGAAGCAGTTTTGTTGATATTGATTTCTTTAGATTACTGAAATTAGTGCTGAAAATACAACATTAAGAGGTACAATAGTTAAATTAGAAGATACTGGTCGTTCATTTGATAATGAAACGAAAGCAAATCGTGCAACAATTCAACAAATGGCCAATCAATTACATGTTTATGAACAAAATACTGTTAGTCATCATTTCGAACTTGATAAAATGAAAGCAGAACGTGACACTGCACTTAGTGAAAAAGAAGCCGTAAAAGTTGAACTTGAAACAATCAAAGCACGTCTTGATTCTGTACAAAAAGCATGGCAAAATACTCGTGGTGAATTAGATGCACGTGAAAATAAATATACATCTCATGAATCACATGTAAAACAATTAGAAAATGATTTACTTTATGCACGAACATGTTTTGATACATTTAAACAACAAGTTGGACAATTACTATCCGATAATTATGTTAAAGTTGAACCAAAAGAAGATGAAATAAAAGAAAAAATTCATTTATTAATGCAATCAAGCAAAGATCGTGGAGTTGTAAGTTAACATAATATCGTAATCTCTTCAAAAATAATCCTTTACTATTTCTTTCGTAGATAATAACAAATTTACAAAATCAAAAAGAACAAATATCAAAACAATTACAAGAACAAATTGATCTTAATAAAGATATTGAAAAAAAACATCGTCATACTGAATCTCATGCACTTGAATTAGAACATCGTGTTAAAAGTCTTGATAATGATTATACAACAACTGAAGTTTATCGTGAAAATCTTAAGCAAGATAAAGTCAAATTTCTTCATTTTCTTGAACGTCTTGGATCAATAATGAAAATTGAAAATGTTTCAAATGAACTTGGTTATGAACTTAATCCTGATGTTCTTTTAACACGTGCTGAACAATTAATGAAATTAGAACGAGATTCAATTGTTGATCAAAAAACATCGATTTATAATTTACAAAGAAAAATGAAACAAATGAAAGAACAAATGGAAAATAAAGATTTACATTTAGATTTATTACGTAAAAAAGTTATTGCATTAGAAGAAGGACGTGCAGCTAAAACAGATTTAGAACGTGAAATTGATGATCATGTTATGTTATCAAGAAAAATGAAAGTTAAAGTTGATCATTTAACACAACAAGTTCATGATTTAAAACATGAAAATATACAATTAAAAGCTCAAATAACAGATATTCAAACACTTAAAGTAATTGAAATTAATTGAAATATTTTCAAATTTTGATCGTTCTAATTTTAGAATCGAATAAATGAACAAGAAAAAGAAATTCGACGTCTTTTAGATGATGTTAATAAATTACAAAATGCACGTGATAAACAAGCTGTTAAAATTTCAACTTTACAAGATAAAATACATTCAGTTGATGATGAAGCTAATAGAACATTACTTACATCAGATAATGCTATGAGAAATTTATCGAATGAAGTAAGATTTCTTAAAAGTTCATTGGAACAAATTACTGAACGAGAACATCGAGTAAGAAATTTTCTTTTTTTTTCAAAGTAAAATAAAAATGTTTTCCATTTAGTTGCTCGATTTTCGTTCATTAATAGCGCATATGCTTGGCTTAGATTCAAAATCATTATCAATACCTGATTATGAAATAACAGCTCGTTTAGAACGTCTTCTTGCTATTATTCAACCATCAGTGGCTATACCTATGATTCCAATTACATCATCAACAACAACGACGTCTACTAATCATATACATCATCAACAACAACAACAGCAACAATCTCCATATCATCATCATCACCATCATCATCAAAATATACAATCAGCACATACAAGACATCGTAGTCCAAGTCCAGGATCTCATCGAGCACGATCACTTTCTCCATTACATGTTGGAATTGATCCAAGAACCTATTAATGATTTACATTCGTACTGATGCTAATTATTATTATTTTTTTCTCATTTGTGTGTATGTCTTATAAGGGGAAACAGTATTTTAAATTATTTGTCTGTCTTTGAATGGCAAAGTTTAATAACTCATTCGATCTGCGCATGCCATAAATATCGATGTCCTTTAACAGTAAAAATAAATAATAATATCTCAGTTCTTCGAATAGTTACTAACACAGATAACAGAAGTACATGTTGTCATTAGACTAATTGATAACGAACTAACCATCCCGAAAATGTTGGTGAGATAAAAGAGCGACACCCATCCTTTTACTAATTTGATTTCAATCTCGCCATAAGAAAAACTGAAAATGTCTTAATGTCTATTCTTGAGTTTTTCACATCTGCAAAACTAGAAAAACCATATAAAGTTGGTCAAGCGGTATTGAAAACAAAATCGTATTCGGTTCGGCACTATCGGCCAGAAATTTTTTTTTGGAATCTTATTCGATACTACACATTTTACAGTTCAGGACTATGGAAGACAACATTTCTAATTCCACACCATCTGGCAGAAACCTTTAGATTAATATTACTGGGTACAACTTGTCAGGGTTTGACTTTTCTCACAGAGAGCCTTTTATTGATTGACGCCGTCCAAAAAGATCTTTAAGAGTTTTGCTCTTGCCATGTCAAACCTTTCTTGCCTCAGACTCATTGAAAAGAACTTTTGAGAGTTTTACTATTGTAATACACAATCACAATCGGGTTGTGCATGTTGCCGAATCACAAAATACTTACGAAAAGCTCCTTTTTTTTAGTCGCATTACCGGCATCTGATAGCAAAAGTTCTAGGAAAACATTATTAATAAGACACAGAGTAAAGTGAAAAACAAGCAATTTTATTTATGATATTTCTACAAATCACACTACTAGAAAAAATATAAGCATGATCATTACATGTTATGTATCCGTTATCGAAGTATGTTTGATATCAATATTCATGATTCTCTGGCTCTTTTATTCCATGCAACATATTTATTAATCTGAAACTCGACATCGTATCCGATTCTACTGAATTCAACATTTAGTATGGTGAGGGTCTAGATGAAAAAGTGCAGGTAAAGACATAATATACATGAAGAGAGAATGCTAATTACTGTGTTATGTCATAATTCATCAGTCAAATGTTGTGCTTCAATATCTTCGATTTCATAAAATATAAGATCTAGTGTGATGAGTGTCTAGATGAAAAAATACAGGTAAAGACATAATATACATGAAGAGAGAATGCTAATTACTGTCTTATGTCGTAATGCATCAGCCAAGGATTGTATGCCAACATGACCGATAAAATTACAACAGAGCTTTAATGTAGTGAGTGTCTATATGAAAAAGTGCAAATAAAACATGGTATAGATGAAGAGGGAATGTTAATTACTGTGTTATGTCGTAATGCATCAGCGAAGTATTGTGTGCCAACATCTCCGATTAGATTATTTTTGAGATTTAATTTGGTGAGTGTCTATATGAAAAAGTGCAGGTAAAACATGGTATAGATGAAGAGATAATGCTGGTCACCGTGTTATGCCGTAATGCATCAGCCAAATGTTGTGCGCCAACGGCTCTGATTTTATTACATCTAAGATTTATTATGGTGAGTGTCTAGATGACAAAGTGTAGGCAAAGATATCACATAGATGAAGAGACAATGGTAATTACTGTGTTATTTCGTAATCCATCAGCCAAATGTTGAGCTCCACCATCTCCGATTTGATTATTTTTGAGACTTAGTTTGGTGAGTGTCTAGATGAAAAAGTAAAGGCAAAGATATCACATAGATGAAGAGACAATGGTAATTACTGTGCTATTTCGTAATCCATCAGCCAAATGTTGAGCTCCACCATCTCCGATTTGATTATTTTTGAGACTTAGTTTGGTGAGTGTCTAGATGAAAAAGTAAAGGCAAAGATATAGTGTAAATGTAGAGAGAGTGCTAATTACTCTGTTATGTCGTAGTCCATCAGCCAAATGTTGTGCCCCAACATCTCCGATATAATTACCACCGAGATCTAGTATGGTTAGTGTCTATATGAGAAAGTGCAGGAAAAGACATTCCATAGATGAAGAGTGAATGATAATTACTGTGTTATGTCGGAATACATTAGCCAAATGTTTTGCTGCCACATTTCCGATTTGATTCTGTTGGAGATCTAGTGTGATGAGTGTCTAGATGAAAAAGTAAAGGTAAAGACATGGTATACATGAAGAGAGAGTGCTAATTACTGTGTTATATCGTAATACATCAGCCAAATGCTGTGCTCCAACATCTCCGATTTGATTCCATCCGATATGTAGTGTGGTGAATGTCTAGATCAAAAAGTGCAGATAAAGACATCATATAGATGCAGAGAAAACGATAATTACTGTGTTATGTAGTATTACATCAGCTAAATGTTGTACTTCAACATCTCCGATTTGATTGCATCCGAGATCTAGTGTGATGAGTGTCTAGATGAAAAAGTGAAGGTTAAGACATAGTATAGATGATGAGAGAATGCTATTTACTGTATTATACCATAATCCGTTAGCTAAATGTTGTGCATCAACGCCGAAATAATTCCATTTGATATGTAGTGCAGAGACAGTCTAGGTAAAAAAGTACAGTTATAGATATAGTACGGATGAAAGAAGAGAATTGTTGGTTGCTGTTATCTTCTGTTAGGTCAGTTTGCTGTATGTTAGTGTAACTAAGCTAAAGACCATATCGATATGAGTCTGAATATTTCTAGGATTTTAATTTCTATACAGTACTCAAAAGTGTTGCATAATCAGGTGGATGAAAACGAAATTACTATAGTTAATGCATGCATAGCAATTTTTGGTCTATGAGTTTATGAAATTCTTTAGTATTTTTGGAAGAAGGAAAAAGTTCTAGTGGATGAATAATATTGTGGAAACTGCTTTTGGGGAAAAACAATTGCTTAGCCTTAGATCATGTGCCCAAAAGGCAGTGCTTTGAAATTAATGGTTTTAGAGCGTTATAAAGTATGAGTCATTGCTTGCTAGTGGTCTTCAGTTATGACAAAAGTAGTGTCTTCTATGTTCACTGGTGCGACTCAATATGCAAGTCGCATCAGAACTCCGTGAGATTTATCTAAATTCGTTTCATTCATGCGTATGATGTATATTGATGAGAGAATTTATTAATTTCGATGGTTGCTTTCGATGGCAACATACACCTGTATGCATGATGAGTAGAAGACGAATACATACTAAATTGCTGTACAAAAAGTATCCATTATGAATAACTCTGGACTTCTCAATCTGGTAATGAATTATCCTCGACCTTGTCCTCCCTGAGAAAGTTTGCTTCTCTTGAAATGCGTTTTAAAACAATTATTGTGGAAAAACATTTGCCTTCGAAGTAATATTTCACCTTAATGATATGAATGTGAGCGGTGTAATTGGAGGAGAATGTGGATGTTGTTAAGGGTCATTGGTCTCGTCAGCCACATCCATCGTTATCTATACCGACAGTCACCTATGTTCTCAAAAGAACATTCATCGGAGATGTCTCTTAAGGGGATTTTGTAGTACGTTAGTTTTATAGCAAGTTAAACTAGTTTATATTGTGTTCATTTCTTTCAAAATATTGTTTTTAATATAGAGATGATATGTAAAATAACGTGTATACATACATGTAAAAGTAGATAGCAATGTTTTATCCCTTTTTCTTTCGTTCTTATCTAATCGCTATATGTTATTGCCATTATAGTTGGTATGAAACGTGGAACTATTCAAAAGAGATTGAATAGGAAAAGAAAAAAAAGAAATTCGTTTTTCGTAATTATCTGTATATTGTTTTTATATTGTCATGATAGAAAAAATGAATTTTTGGAAAGAGAGTGGTAATTGATGAATTATTTTCAGTAACAAAGTTTATTCATATATATATTATTGAAGTTATTCTATTTGAATAGAGATTGTAAGAATAAAAAATAATTTCAAGGCCGATAGATAAAAGGTTACCTGATATCGATCATAACTGTCTACGATCTTGTTGAATCGTTGACATACGTTACGCATTGAGCACAGCATTGTGAAATCCGACTGATGATCCAGAATTCGGTAGACGAGTTCTACCGGTAATGTTATGAAGGTAGCGGTGGTTGAGTTTGCCATTGCAGAATATTGCTGAAATATGTGCTCTGTAGCCGTATATGTTAGTTATATGATGTGTCGTTGTTTTTTCTTTCGATTAAATGAGTATCCTAGTCGAACTTTTTTTTGCACGCACATGAGATTCTTCACTTTCTTGAGCAAGAATGTCATGCACTATGGACACATCTTGAAATCTTTCTTGGCATGTGGGTAAAAAGAAAAATTTTATGTAAAAAAAGCATTCAAACCGAGCATTTTTTTCTTTTATAAATGAGTATTATTTGAAGATAAAATATTCTTACCTATACCGAAAATTTTCATAATTTTTTGTGCACATGCGCATGTGATCCTTGAATTTCTTTAGCAAGATTCTCGTGTGCTTTGGACACATCTTGAAGTCAAGTCTTGTCAAACGCTTGAAAAAAAAGTTCGACTAGAGTAGGTGAATGTTTTATCATTGGTTTCACATGATACTTCAATTATTTATTGAAAGAAATAAAATGAAAAAGAACGATGCCAACTACAAAATCAAAGAACAGATATAACAAGTGTAAACAACGTTTTTTTAATGATTGTTCAACGATATAAAATGGTATATAGTAGATATAAATACTGTGTGCTGGATTATATTCACCAAATGTTGATCGATTTTCTTTTTTATTCATTTTTATTTAAAATCTACATATAATAGCATGCGACCTTAAAATCGAATGACGATATTTTATAAAATGATACAGAATTTATCTTTAAGAAACAGAACCTGAAGAATATATGAGAGGAAAAGCTAAGATTAATAATTTCTTGGTCGACGAATATTACTACAATCTGATTTGTTGTCGAATAAATTTTTCTGAAATATTAACAATATTTTGCTTCATATATTAAAACAACAGTTGTTGTTAGATAGTATTAATACAAAAAATAATAAACAAAAATATTTTTTGTCAAATGATACTATTGATGTTGTTAAAAAATGAATTCATTCATCTCAATGAAATAACAATAATAATAAGAAATAAATTATATCAAAAAATGGCTGCAACTCTACGATTAACTTTCAAACTAGAATCTAATGATTATTTATTAACTCTTGTATTTTACAAGATATCGAAATTGAATAAAATAAATTGAACAGTTTTAACTGTTAGAATGACATAACAATTCAAAAGTTAAGAATATGTCTTTGTTGTTTACAAGTACAGCTGTATCCTTCATATGACCCTACTCTTTTTATGTTCCAATTAAATGATATATTTGCAAGATACTTTCTCTCATATTAATTCATTTATAAAAAGTATCAGATACAGAACTAAATAAATGATACAATTAACAAAACTCAAAAGTATATTGTTCTTGTTTTATATTGATTAGTATAATCACGATTCTATCATACGAAAATTCATTCTTCAAAAATTTCGTATTCATATCTAAAATGCGATGCGAAGTTGTATCCAATGTTGACTTTCGATTCCCGAGATCATCGAAACACAAAATTATGCATATGTCGAGAGAAGCACTAGATGATGTCACGGCATATTCAAGAATACGAGATCAGGTGCGAAACAATCACCTGAATCTATAACCCTAACGTTCTTGCGATAAAAACAACTTTATTTGAAGATTTTTTAAAAATTAATTTTAATTATCCCAAATAGGTAAGATCATGGTGACACAAGTTCTAGACTATAGATGTACACGAAGAAAACTATTCGCGAAAGGACGAAATCAATATTTTGCTTGTGCACCGTATTAACACATAAAACACCAAATAACATTTATTTCTATTAGTTATGTAATTATAATAAACACTATTAAATTGTTTTTTTTATTTATTTTTCATCATACAACCAGCAGTGCAAACCAAATGTACTCACTTTATAAAAATATATTCCATAAGAACTAAAATTATCAAAAACATCCATGCTTTTATCTTGATTCATAAATATCAGATGTCAATTTCTACCATAATATCGAGCAAAACATTTTATTAATTAAATCTTCTTTTCTTATATATTTTATAAGAAAAATACCTTTTTTTCTTTTATGTAAAATAAAATGTCATACTGCTCGCATATAATATCGGAAGAAAGAATTTAATGTAAAAATTCTTTTAATTTTTGTTCAATCAATCGTTTTTGTTGATTAATTAAATAAGCATGTTGTTGAAAATAAGAACGATCATCA